GGCTCCAGCCAGGCCAGAGCCCGCTGGGGGGTATTTGGGAAGTGAACCTGTGGATGACAGGTCTATTTCTGTCTCTGCCACTTGCAAAGCAAATAAATAACTTTTAAAATATTAAATTAGTAGGCCATGCTCAAGCTGTCACTAGCTTTTCTTTCTCGGTATGCTCTCTGGAGCAGAAAGAAAGGAGCAGAAGATTCATGATATGAGGACACGCTCGCACTGTAGAGTGGAAAATTAAAATTCCAAATGCTACAAGAAGTATCAGGCTTTTTTAAAACACCTGTACATAAATCACAATTAGAAACATCACGAGGCTGGTTGTGGCATAGCAGGTAAAGCATCTACCTGCTATGTTGCCATCTCATATAGATGCTGGTTCATGATTTGGCTATTCCACTTCAGATCCAACTACCAGCTAATGGCCTGGGAAATCAGCAAAGAATGGCCCAAGTGCTTGGGTCCATGCACCCACATGGGAGACCCAGAAGAAGCTCCTGGCTCCTTGCTTCAGCCTGGTCCAGCCCTGGCCATTGCAGCCATTTGGGGAGTGAATCAGCACTCTCTCTGTGTAACTCTTTCAAATAAATAAATGAATTTTTTTTAAAAAAATAATATCAAAACCCAAAGCAAAGCTACAAAACACAAACTGGACAGAGGCTGGAGTAAGGAGTAGGTGTGCCGTGCCCCAGGCTCCTTCAGCACCCTCTACTGGTGGGCACTGGTCCTGCTGAAAGGTGGGAGGGGGCGTGGCCTGTAACAGAGGCAGAGGTAGCTGGGGCCTCTGGGGCTCCCTGGGACCCACGGGGGCACTGCACCACAAGCCACAATGGCCAGGTTGCCAACCAACAGCATCAGACCGGGCCCCTCCCTTTGAAATCCAAAGGAGACCAAGAAGATGGTGGGTCGCACCAATATGCAGAAACATGTGCTGGGAATTGGAAGTGGGTCAGCAGTTGTCCATGTTAAGAGTGAAACAGGGCTGGAGCCACAGCTCAGTAGGCTAATCCTCTGCCTTTCGGCGCCGGCACACCGGGTTCTAGTCCCGGTCGGGGCACCGGATTCTGTCCCGGTTGCCCTTCTTCCAGGCCAGCTCTCTGCTGTGGCCAGCGAGTGCAGTGGAGGATGGACCAAGTACTTGGGCCCTGCACCCCATAGGAGACCAGGAGAAGCACCTGGCTCCTGCCTTCGGATAGGCGCGGTGCGCCGGCCGCAGTGCACCGGCCGTGGCGGCCATTGGAGGGTGAACCAACGGCAAAAAGGAAGACCTTTCTCTCTGTCTCTCTCTCTCACTGTCCACTCTGCCTGTTAAAAAAAAAAAAAAAAAAAGAGTGAAACAGGAGAATTCTGCACCTTGTCGATTTTCTCACTTCCTCCCAGGAGGGGCAGCTCGTCCTGCAGGGTGGCCTACCCCTCAGTGACCCAACACTGACCTCGCCATACGAGGTGCTGATGCAGTAGATGCTGATCTCTGTGTCACCCAGGGCGGTGCAGGCTGCCTGACCCAGGACAAGATCCCCTGGGCTGTGCAGTCACTTCAGCATGACCGCCGATAACAGGAAACATCAAAGAACCTCGGGGATCAGAGCCATAGGGAATCCCCCAAAGAGGTCCCGGCGATGACACAGGTCCTAGTGAGCAAAGCTGTGACCCCAAGGATTGGGGCTGGGCCTCAACATCAAATGGCCTTCCACAGGCAGGTCCTGTGGTGACCAGGTAATGGGATTTCTTTTCTTTAAGATTTATTTACTTATCTGAAAGAGTGAGAGTGAGAGTGAGAGAGAGAGAGAGATCTTCCATCCACTGATTCACTCCTCAGATGGCCACAATGGCCAGTGATGGGCCAAGCCAAAGCCAGGCGCTTCATCCAGGTCTCCCAGATGGGCAGCAAGGACCCAAACACTTGGGCCACCTTTGGCTGCTTTTCCCAGGTCACTGGAGCTGGATCAGCAGCAGAGCACCTGGGACACGGACACACATACACGAAGCTGACGTCCCAGGAATTTTATCCTGGACTGCAAGTTCCACCTGGTATACCAATAGAGTGAAGTAAACACAGCTATGGAAATGATCCCAGGCATGGAGGACTGGGGCCTGGAGGGAGAAACCTGTCTGTCCTGCTGACCCCCCAGGGAACAAAGTGTGTTCACCTTTGACCTGAGCCTGCTGGTTATACTTCTAAGTATCAGGTTTGCTGAGAATTGAAAAAATAAAAAATCACTTTTCTTGAAGCTGGGAACAGGAAGGACTAGACACTCGCAGTCTCCTGAGGCCTTTCAGGAAACTTTCGGTTTTGTTTTTCATTAGTTTTCACTGTGATCCTGCATTATACGCAGCCCCATTTCAGGATGGGGTTTACAAAAGTCTGCCGAGCAGAGCAGTGTGGTGTGTAGGGGATCGGAATGTAGACAGCAGGGAGCAAGTGTGGGAGTGCTTTTGCCAAGATCAGGCGGTGTGCTCAGCTCCCTGCTGCTGGAAGCACTGGACAGAAAGACTTGTCAGCACGGCCAGAGCACTGCTGTGAAATGGGAAATATTTGGGTTTTTAAAAATAATATTCTTTCTGCTGTTACTATCTTTTCTGTTCCTTTATTACTTGCATGGCTTGGCATCAGAAGCTGACATGTCCTTGTATTTGAAGGTTGAAATAAAACAGTGTGGTGCACTTTGAACAAAACCCCACAAATGAGAACTACAAGATAGCAACAGGTGCAGGATTATGGATGCCTTATTCTATTCATGGAGCTTGAAAATTTTCTAGAAAGAATGTTATTGTTTTGTAAGGGAAGCCACAGCTAAACACCCAACAATTAGGAGGATGTTTGTCAAAACTACACATTCATTCACAGAATATGGTGCAGCCATTATACATCGCTTTTAGGAGGTTTCTGTACTAACATGGAGAAATGCTCATGACAGGATGCATTTGCAACAAGCCGAAAAGCCACACGCAGAGCAGACAGTGTCTCAGAGAGACTACATAAGAAGAGAACAGTGGGGCTGACTGTGCACAGCGGCTGACCCACTGCCTGGGACACCAGTATCACACACGAGCGCTGGTTGAATTCATGGCTTCTCTGCTTCCGAGGTCCACTTCTGATCCAAATCCCTGTTAATGCACCTGTGAAAGCAGTGGACGATGGCCCAAGTGCTTGGGCCCTGCCACCCACATGGGAGACCCAGATGGGATCCCAGGCTTCAGCCTGACCTCTGGCCACTTGGGGAGTGAACCAATGGATGGAAGATTTCTTTCTCTAAGTATGTGTCACTCTGCCTTTCAAATAAATAAACACATCTTAAAAAAAAAAAAAAAGGTGGTGGAAGGTGGGAGGAAGAGAATAGTAACTGCCTCCACGGAACAGAATCAAAAGGCCAAGGGCAGGCAGGGATGGGAAGGGGATTATGTTTCTCTGTACTCTTTTTTTCACATTGATCAAACTGGCAAAATAATTCAACTCTGACAATACCAAGTACTGCTAGGAATATGGGCAAAAGGGAGCAGCTGTAATCCATTACAGAGAAGGGAAGATTCAGAGAACTATCTGGAGGCAAAGCTCCAGGGCAAGCTGAAATCCCTAAAATTCCAAGTGGAAACACCCTAAAATTCCACTTTACAGAATCCTCCCCAAGCCCACCCCCACCATGAGTGCTCCAGAAAGAGCACACAGCAGCGTGTCCACTGCAGCACAGTTTATCACCGTGGAGACAAGGAAGAACCTGTTGGCCTATATGGACTGAGCTGTGGACTCCCCAGATTCCTATGCTGATGTGGCGTCTTAACCCCTAGCACCTAAGAATGTGACTGTGTTTGGAGATAAGGTTTATAAAGAGGCAAATACAAGCTAAAATGAGGTCACTGGGGAGGGAGGGCCTCAATCCGATATGACTGGTGTCCTCAGAAGGGAACATGAGGACACAGACATACTCAGGGAAGACCAGCCAAGGAGAGGCCTCAGGACAAAGCCACCTTGCTGACAATTTGATTTCAGATTTCTAGCCTCGAGGATGTAAGAAAATCCCTGACTCTTGGTTATGGCAATCCTCGTGAACACCAACACCATCAGTGGGAGGATGGCTGAATACACGCTTGATTATGCAGACAGTGAAACATTACACAGTGTTTAACAAAACCACAAAGCAGCAAAAGTTATAAAAGATGAAAGTCCAAGCAATGTGGAATCCAGTGAATAGGGATCTCCCAAGAACGTGGTCCCAGCATGCTGGTCTTAACCCATCCGAGTCCTAGCAGCCAAAAGAGCTCAAAGCAGCACCATATTCTAGAGAAAGCCCGGACTCTCAGAGACCAGGAATGTGCAGCCATGGACTCATTACTCCTGCCATTTATAGTGCTGATCTCTAAATGCAGGGCCAGAACCCCAAACTCAAGATGCCCCCATCCCTCCCCCCAGACAAACAATCCTGCCACAAAGAATGGAATGCGGTCATTCATCCAACATTGATTCTAGTACCCCTAGTAAGTCAGAGTCTTCCTAGGTACAAAGATACAGAAAAGATACCAAGAAACAACTCTGTAAGCAGTTGGCAATTTAGAACAAGTCAATTATAGCACAAGGTAGAGGGGAGAGGGGTTGAGGACCAGCTACTGTTTCTAATCCAGCTTCCTGCTATGTGCAACCTGGGATACGGCAGGTGATGGCTCAAGTACTTAGGTCACTGTCACTCACAGTGGGAGACATGGATTGAGTTCCCAACTTCTAGCTTTGACCTGACCTAGCCCTAGCTATTGCAGACATTGAGGGTATGAACCAGTGGAAGGGAAGTCAATCTTTCTCCCTCTCTCCCAATGTCTCTGCCTTTCAAATAAGACACAAATAAATACTTAAAAAAAAAAAAAAAAAAACTTAAGGCAGTGGCACCCAAAGTCAGAAATGGCCCTTGGTTGCAGGAGATGGATTCCCTCAGGCCTCAAGGAAAGAGTGAAGGCAAGGCTGGTTGGGGCAGGAGGGTGTCAACTTGGTGCTGTCGACAGCAGGAGCCAACAGGTGTTTTGTTTTGTTTTGTTTTGTTTTTAAGAGGAATGGCCTGATGGGCTGTCCAAGAAGATACTGTGGCAGCAGACATGGGGGACTGGAAGGAACAGGTTACTTGTGACCAAGCAGAAAACTTGTTCTGGCATCTGGTAGCTTTGCCAGGCCAGTGCACACAGAGACAGTGGCAACCTGGGCCTGCGACTGGAAATGCTGAGAGACCACATTGCCTGTGAAGCAGAGACAATAGACAGAAAGACAGCCTGGGATGAATGGACCCCTGTAGCCAACTGCTGAGACCATGTAAATTTTAATGTCAAAAGTGCTTATCTCCTGTGAATTTTCTTTGTCCGGAAACAAAAGGGGCTATTGGATCCCAAAGGTCATGTGGATCCAGAAAAGCTTTTCTTCTAGAAAAGTGCTGTGCTTTCCAGAAAATGTTCCCCATCAGCAGTTCCAATAAAATGATCTGTGTGGCTGCCCAGGCTTTGGAGGCCAAGGGAGACCCAAGGGATGCAGGGGTTCAGGCCCCAGATGCATACCCGCTCCCCTGTGCACTCACTCTCAGGCCTGAGGGGGATGCTCTGAGACTCACTTGTTCCCTGAAGTGCACTGCACCAAGAGTGTTTTTATAGAAAGCTTGTGTAGGAAGTGCACCCTGCAGGGTTTTGGGGAACAGTTTTTCCTGCTAAGGGCCATGTCAATATTTACAACATCACTCGTGGGCAATGCAGAATTATCAACTTAAAAGTTAGCCTGCTACAGAGTTACTGGATTTCAAGTGCAACTTGCAATTGCCTTGGCAAGACCAGACCAAATGGTTCTGCAGGCCTTACCCAGCCCACAGGCTGGACATTTCCACCCCTGCTAGCAGGTCAAGGCAATTGGCTCCTGACCTCATCTCTGCTACACAAAAGATTGGTGAGGCTTCAGAAAAGCCAGGAAACTCCCCAGGTCTCAGCTGCCTCAGATCAGACCTGGTAGCACATCAGACTCATGTGAAAAGCTATATAATACCGATTGAGGGCAAAGTTCCAAATCAAACCAACTGATCCCAGGTATCTGGGAAATGGAACCCCAGAATCTGTGAATCTGTGAAGGCATCTGCTACCTGCACTTCCCCAAGGTCTCCTCCCTGTAAGCTGGTCCTGGGCTTAGAAAGGTAAATAAGCCTGGGCAACATGGCAGCCCCTCTGCACAGCCAACACTGCCACCTGGCCATTACTTCTGGGCTCCAGTCTCAATTCTTACTGCATTCTCTACCTTATTCTGTTCTCTGCGCTCCTCTCCATCCTAGCCAAAACTGGAATCAACATGATGCTTTTTAAAGGTGGCAGTGAGAAACATTCCATAATAGCCCAGCAATTCGACACCTTCCTACTCAAAGTCACCCTGACCACTGCACCCACTAGCAACTCTCCTCCTAACGGTCCAAATCTCTGCCACCTCTTTACTCTGTGTCTGACTGATCTATACCTCATTCTTTCAAAGTTCTCTTGGTTTCTCCAGTAAAGCAGTGTATTTCCCCACACCATACACCAACTACTTAACAATTAGGCTGAGCTTTGCAAATCTCAAAATGCATCAAGGAATACATCAAACAAGGAACACAAAGCAATGACAGAGCACTGTTGCAGAACACTTTCTCTCTCTCTCTTTTTTTTTTTTTTCGACAGGCAGAGTGGACAGTAAGAGAGAGAGAGACAGAGAGAAAGGTCTTCCTTTGCTGTTGGTTCACCCTCCAATGGCCGCCGAGGCCAGCGCCTGCGGCCGGCGCACCGCGCTGATCCAATGGCAGGAGCCAGGTGCTTCTCCTGGTCTCCCATGGGGTGCAGGGCCCAAGCACTTGGGCCATCCTCCACTGCACTCCCTGGCCACAGCAGAGAGCTGGCCTGGAAGAGGGGCAACCGGGACAGAATCCGGCGCCCCGACCGGGACTAGAACCCGGTGTGCCGGCGCCGCTAGGTGGAGGATTAGCCTAGTGAGACGTGGCGCCGGCTCAGAACACTTTCTCTTTAACATAACCAGATGCTTTGTCTTGGCTCCCACCCCACCAACTTATACTCCCCGCTGAAGCAGCAGAAGCATGCAATGGCAACACCACCATTTCCTCCACGATCCTGAACAATGCTACTCGACAGAGAAGATGTGTGATGAGGAGTTAACAGTCAGCCTTTTGTATATTTCTCCACTCCTTGCATGGTTAACAAGCTCCCCATGTGGCAGGGCCAGCCAGTCTGCACCAGGAAACCACTGGAGGGGTGAGTGTTAAGAACTGCTATCAGCTCTGCTTTAACACACGAACGTGCTATGCAATCCAGAGATGCACTCTGGAGTCAGCCACACCACGATTTAAAACCCAGCTCCTGCACTGAGTGATGCTGAGCGAGTTACTTATAGGAGGCCACCGATCTGTCCTAGCCTCTTGCAGATCAGGCCACACTGAAATGCAGCTGCAAATGCTAAGGAAGCAGGTACATGCCTCAAACAGACCAGTTTCTCAAAAACAGGAGAACCCAGTCTGCATAGTGCAGAGGTCGCTTCTGCTTTAATTCTTCCAGGAAAATAAAGGACACTCTGGACTAACCAGATGTGCACCCACCAGCTTTTTGACTATTGCTCTGTTTCCTTGTTCTCGCCTTACAAAATGCACTGTTCTGCCAATGGGAGCTCTCATTCTCTTCTGCAGAACACAGGCCACTCCAGTTAGATCTATTACTAAACTTCTTGCAAGTTTGTCTCTTGACTTTTGTTACATACAGTCTCTGAGCCTTGATTTCCACATTTGGGAAATGTGAATAATATGGCCAACTTGACAGATCTGCAGGAGGTGATGTGAAATAAGAGCCACTCTGCTCATGGGCCTCGTAAAGTCCTTTTCCAAAGCCTTGAAACTTCAAATATCTCTCTGAAAGGGGACAAGCCAGCTCAGGACCTCTGTGGGCACTGGGGAAGCACAGCCTTTCCTGGGTGGCAGCTGCACAGACTACCCTGGCAGGTTCAAGGACAACATCCAATTGCAAGGGCAAGCTTAACCCCGCCTGCACCTGAGGCCACAGCCCAGTGACACTGTCCTGGGTAACCAACCTTCAGGCACTGTAAAAGGTAGCTCCAAACTTGCAAGGAAACAAGTATAAAGGCCTTTCCTAGTTTCCAAGGCCATAGGACACGGTGCTGAGGTCACATCTTTCCGGGCACATGGTGAGCTTTTTGAGAACACAGAAGAGGTTTTCAGCATCTTTTACCTGCTAACAGAGTGTCAGGCCCACAGCAGACAGGACACACTGGATAAAGAAGGGACTACGTTACTGAATGCAAGGATGGGCCATGTGATGCCGACCATGTAAACTGGCTGCTTGCATGACAACCTCACATAACGTGCTTCCACAATTCACTGAAAACACAAGTATTTCAAAAACTAATTCCAGGAGGCAGAAATGACGCTTCCCAGTGCAAAAGTCACTCAGTTAAAACTGTCAAGAGCAAAGCATTAAACTAGCTCATTCAATCCCGCATTCATTCAACAAACACTGGATCTTCATTACATGCCAGGCACCATGCCAAATGTTAGAGAAAAAAGATGTGGTCCCTGGCGAGGCAAGGCATCCATCAGTTTTCTTAAAGTTTCTTTGTGGTTCTGATGTGTTGCAGAGCGGAGGTCCATCAGGAGGACACGTGCTCAATGCCCAGAGCTTGCAGAGTAGCAAAGGGCACATTCCTCGGTTTTGGGGAACCACTTGCTAATATCAGTGTGTCTCTCCCCGTTCCCTCCTCCTGTCTTCTTTTCTCTCATGCAAAACCTCAGAATTATTTATGGCTTTTTTGCAACTACTGAATAGTATTCTTGATCCTTATGGATATCTTAAAATGTAAAATAGTAATAATAGAGTATTTTAAATTTGGCTTTTTTTCTTTTTTAAAGATTTGTTCATTTACTTGAATGTCAGAGCCACCGAGAGAGTAGGAGAGAGAGGTTTCCCATCTGCTGGTTCACTCCCCCGATGGCTCCAACAGCCAAGGCTGGGCCAAGCCAAAGCCAGGAGCCAGGAGCTCCCTCCAGGAGTCCCACATGGGTGGCAGGGGCCCAAGCACATGGACCATACTCTACTGCTTCCCCAGGCCACTAGCAGGGAGCTGGATCAGAAGTGGAGCACCTGGAGCCCACATGGGATGCCAACATCGCAGATGGCAGCTTTACCCACCATGCTAGAATGCCAGCTCCTGATCTGGCTTTTTTAAAAACCAGAAAATGTATTACTTCTCAACTAAAAGCTCACCGATATAATACATATTTATTACATGCATATTATATTTCGGAAACCTTGCAAATCTCAGGCAATAAACAGTAGCCTTAACCTTCTGTCTCAACTTTGGTCCTAAAGTGTGACTTTTTTCTATGAATAAATGGTTCTCGGGGGAAAACAAGTGTGAATCCCTCATCTGTGTGTTGCCTTGCAGAACTGAATAAAGTCTCACAATAACAAAACACCAAAGCCAACAGACACCATGCACAGGCCTGCTCCTTTAGGTCTGATGTCTCCTCATTCTGTAACAAGTCACAGTGCTGGGCACTCACCAGGGACCACGAGTCCTAGTTTTCCAAGGATTCAAGTTGGAGTCAGTCTCTGATGAACCAGAACAGGTGGTCACCCTGACAATCACCTCTCCTCTCATCACCCAAGTTCTCTCAAATACAGTGAAGCCTAGTCAACATATACACTGCAAGTTCAAAGGCTTCATTGTAATATGGATTATTCCACATGTAATGTATGAAATATGGATTATTCCACATGTAGTGATATTTTCCATGTTCTCTAGTGTGCAACATGTGCACTGTTCTTGGTCCTGCACCTCAAAGTACTGTAGTTGGAGACAGAGCCTCACATATTTTAGGCACCTACATCTTGTCCCTCTCCCCACTATCCAAGGTTCCTGCTCAGACACTGAAGGAGGGCTGAGCTAAGATCTCCTGGTTAATGGGTCTGAGCTTCATACCCTGGCCCACTGGCACTCCTTCTTAGCTTCCATCATCCCAACTAAAGTTCAGGTTCCACAATAGTCAGCTACCTACAGGTTCTAATCCCACAGATTCTGTTTCTAGTGGCTGAAAATATCAGAAAAAAAATGGCATGTACTGCACATGTACTTTTTCTTCTCATTTTAACTTTTTTATATAGCATTTACATTGTATTATGGATTTTACATAATCTAAAAATGATTCAAAATGCTAAGGGAAGGAGTGGACATTTGGCCTCGTGGTTAAGATGTCTATGTCCATATCAGAGTGCCTAAATCGAAATTCCAGTCCCAGCTCCAGACTCCAGCTTCCTGCTAATGCAGACCTGGGAGGTAGCTGTGATGGCTCAAGTGGTTGGGTTCCTGCCGCCATGTACAAGACCTAGCTTGTATTCCCGGACCAGTCCTGGCAGTGTGGCCATTTCAAGCATGAACCAGTGGATGGGAGCTCAATAAATTAAAAATAATAAACAACAAAAATTTAAAGTACAGGGGAGGACATGTACATGTGAATATAAGCGACCCAATTTGGGTGGGCATTTGGCCTTGTAGTTAAGACTCTGCTTTGGCCACCCACATCCCACATCCGAGTGGTTGGGTTTGATTCCTGGCTCTGGCTTCCTGTTAATACACGTCCTGGTGGGGAGCAGGTCCTTGCCGCCCACAAAGGAGAACTGAATTGGGGTCCAATGTCCTGGTCCAGCCCAAAGCCAGGGGTTATTGTAGACATGTGCATAGTAATCCAGCAGATAAAAGCACTGTTGCATTCTCGCTTGCGCGCTCTCCCTCTCTCTCTCTCAAGAAATTGCTTTTTAAAGTTATTTTATATAAGGGGCTTGAGCACTGCAGATGTTGGTATCTGAGGGGGTCCTGAATCCAGTCCTCCATGAATATGAAGGCAGCTGCACTTCTTCCAGCACCAGCACTGGGGGGACACACTTCAGGGCAAGCACAGCACACCCGCACCTGGTGTTCGTAAGAGACGCGCCAGCAGGACAGCACGGAAAGACTCAGAGCTTTTGGTTTTCCAGGGGAACCCCCTGAGTTGAAAGCTCAGCTCCACCACTAACTCCAGGACCTCAAGGCAGTCAGCAAGTGCCTCCCTGGCTCCCAGTCCTCCCCCTGTAGAAGGGAGGCAAACCCCACGTGCAGAGTGGGAGGGGACAGTCAGAAATCTCACCAAGAACAAAACCAGGCAAGTGTCTGACATACACAGTGAACACTGAGCATGCCATAATGCTTGTATTTTAGGCAAATAAAAACGTAGTTTTCTGCACCTTTCATTCATACACACACACACACACACACACACGCACACACACACACACTTCTCTATTGACACAAAAAGCAATTCTTCTATTCAGAAACATTTCCTTTTTGTAGAAACATACTATTTATTCAGTAAGAAACTATTCACCATCTGACTCACATAAATTTTCTCCTCCCAAGCCATCTGATTGAGGGCACATCAATGCAGCATATTTTATTATTATCATTATTATTTTCCACAACATTTATTACTATGGTTCCTTCTCCCATGTAGAATATTGCCCAACTGAAGTCCTCCAAAGGAGCCAAAGCCTGTTCAGAACAAAGACAGATACCTGTCTTTCAATTTCTGTTTTCCAATATGATGATCCCACTGAAACAAAGCTGGACTTCATCAGTGGTGAAGCAGGAAAAATGAAAATCAGTCCATATGGACGTCATGGCCATAATCCTCACCACCTCCACATGGTGGGGGGAGAGAAGAGGGAGACATCTGCTTCTTCTTAACAGCTTCTATTTCACCTTAAGTCACTTTTTTTAAAAAAAATATTTCTTCCAAAGGTACTGTGCTGGGTGTCTTCTCTGGGTCATCCCTGGGCAAGCAGAGGGCACTTGTGAAATGGAAAACATTCAGCAAACAGCAGCCTTCCAAGGCTCCTGGTATGCATGTAAGGGGAACTTCCTGATTTCCAACCACGGCTCAGTTCAGAACAAAAAACAGGGGGTGGGGGGTCCGGGCTGAAGGGTCACATTCCTGGAACAAAACACAAAGCACACAGCCTATTTGAGGGCAGGTCGGACTTTCACTCCATTCGAGCATGTAGGCCTCATGCTCTCGGCTCCTAGAGTTCTCAACACTGGGGAAACCTCCCAGCACAATCGCCTTTCTCCATGGCATTCTGGGCACAGTACTGTGTCTGCAAACCAGTGATGATACAAGTCCAGGGCGTCTGCTTATGAAGATGCTCTGATTGAAGACGCCTACACCAAGTCTTCTTTGCAATCATCTTGTCACTTCTGGCACCAACGCCTGTGCGCCCAGCATGCAGCGTTCAGGGGCTGGAAACATACGGTTTCGGATTTCAGCGACCAGTACCACTTAGCCCTGCATCTCAGAGTGCACAGTCTCTGAAGCTCTGGTACATGCTCTCACACCTCCAAATCACTCAAACGTCCTGTAGTATATGCATACCAATAAACTGGACAAGGCCCATTTAATTGTACAAAAAGGCTATTTAAACGCACTCCCTGCACTTCAAAATAAAAAAAAAGACGCATGTAAACATCGCCTCTGAATGGCTGCAGCATCCTTGAGCCGCCCCATCTCATCTTTCACACGTGTTGCAGTTGCACTTGTTCAGATTTTCTTGGAGGTATCAGTATGTTTTTTCTTTATTACGAGAATTCAGAGTCTGAGGTTGCCTCTGAATGTGAGCTTGCGGCTTGGCTGGAAGAAATAGTATTATCAGGAGACTTATGATGTGTAAATAAAAATACATGGACCTAGAAATAAGAACACACAGAAGTTATATTTCAATCAGGGGTACAAATGGGAATGATCAATGATTACATCTCCTTCGGTACGGTGAATGAGCACAGGCATGGCTTTGGCAGTACCAAGCATGTGGGTCCTCAGGCTGCCCTCTGTCCACTCCATCATTTCGTGCATGAGTGGGTCAGGGATGAACTGAAACCACACCCAACTGGGCAAAGCAAAGCACCCAGCTCATCTGCAGATACACACAACACTGTCCCAGCAACACAGAGCACACTACAAGAGAATTAACCCCACAACAACCAGCAATCCCTAATATTCAAGGTCTAAGGATGCACAGGTGAAATTCAAACACAGTACCCTGTTCCCTAAACTCACACATAAATAACACTTTGACTCATGCATTCTTCTCAAGTATAAAGAGTTCTTGCATTGCCCATGGATCACAAAGATTCTGATTTTTATAACCCTGAAAATAACCTACATCCGAACTATTAAGAAGCAAGCTTTGCTTTTGAAGCTTGTGGATATTTATTGCAAAAGCACGGTATTCAGTACAGGGCACACAGTGCAGATATTCAATAAACAGCGGACATACCCATCAATGTATCTAGATCAGTCATGCAAACGCAAGCTGTTTCTAATCACTTACATTTGGAAAGGCTGAATTTATACTTTGTCCAGTGCTTTTTGAAGATTAAAGAGAAACAATGTTAAAAGAGGGAGGGAATCACAGCTGATTTATGTATCACTTGCCAGCTTCTGTAACTGTAAGATCAGGACATTACCATACGAAAGCTCACATGTGCCCTAAACCGCTCCAGTATTAAGCAAGAGGAATGCCTCCCTGACAACTGTCTACAGAATCCTCAAGAACACTAACAGAAAGAAATGCATCTTCATTCATTTATTCTTTCAGCAAGCACTTATGGCTTAGGATAGACAAAGCATTAAACTGGGGTCTACAGAGAGGTGGAAGCCCCAGCCCCTCCCCTTGGAGGAGTTGAGATGAGTACATGATGAATGGTTGTGTAACCAGCAGAGAGGTGAACAGCCACAGTAAGTGACTACCTAATTTATTCTTTAAACCAGGACATTACTGACAGTGAAAAAGGGCTTTACAGATAAACACATGGGCTCAACAGGTACCACTGCATTCTCACAGGCACCTCTAGCTAGAGGGAACACCAGCTTTTCAAGTCTGCACATCCAAAATACACTTTGTTCCTGTGCTTTGCCTTCATCTTTCATGCTGGAGCAATTATGTTAGATTAAATCCAAACACATCAACAATCAAGAGGAAAATATCTCAAACCCCTTGTGAGGTTCAGTAACCTATACAGACATTCCATCTCTCTCTCAAGTTCTAAGGATTATTTGATCTCTCCATTATGGAAAAACGCAGCCTCACTAACACTGAGCACGAAAGGCACTGTCCTAGGTACTTCAGATTCAAAGATGAATCAGGCTAGGCTAGGCATTGTGGCACAGAGGGTTTAGCCATCACTTGCAACACCAGCATCCCATATCAGATTGCTGGTTCGAATCCTAGAGCCTCTGCTTCCAATCCAGCTTCCAGCTAATGCTCCTGGGAAGGTAGTGAATGAAGGCCCAAGTGCTTGGGCCCCTGTCACCCAGATGGGAGACTCAGGTGGAGTTCTTGGCTCCTGGCTTCAGCTTGGCCAACTCCAGCTGTTACAGGCACTAGGAAAGTGAACCAGAAAATGAAGATACCTCTCTCCCTCTCTCCATGTCTATTGTTCTATCTTGCAAATAAATAATCTTTAAAAAAAACTTTAAGATACACATTCTTTTTTGGAAAAAAAAATGAATCAGACATATAAGAAATTTGCATAGTATATGGTAAAAATTAAAGTAAGCTTATTCTGTTACAAAAAATTTTGAAATTAATGTGTTGTTTTATTATAACACACAATTTCCATAAACTTTTTAGAGATCCCCTTCATATACACAGATATCAAAAGTTTTTTTAATCAAAATAAAATCATCTTTTTATTTTGAAAGGTAGAGAGACTTGCCAACAAACAGATAAAGAAAACTGTCATCTACTAGCTCGATCTCCGAATGCCCACAACAGCCAGAACTGAGCTACACAAGGAGCCTCTTGGATGTGGGTGATGAGGACTCAAGTAGTTGAGCCATCACCTGCTGTTACCTACAGCCTGCTCTTGCAGGAAGCTGGAGTCAGGAATTGGAGCTGGGACTTGAGCCCAGGGTCTCTGATTTTGGATACAGGCACCCCCAAGGAGCATCTTAACCACTATGCCATTGTCTGTTCCATAAAATAATCTCTTTTTTAAAAATTTTTTCTTTATTTGGAAGACAGAGACAGAAAGAGAACTCTCATCCATCAGTTCAAATGCCCACAACAGCTGGCACTTGGCCAGATCAAGGCTAGGAACCCAGAAGATAATCTGGGTTTCCCATGTGGGTTGCAGGGTCCAAGTACTTGATCCATCTCCTGCTGCCTCCTAAGCTGTGCATGAGCAGGAAGCTGGATTGGCAGTGGAGCCAGGACTCAAACTCACACACTCCTAAGTGGCATCTTAACTGCTGTACCAAACACCACTCTCAAACTCACCTTTCATTTCTATTTTCCATGAACCTTCTGAAGTGCCCTTATAGTTAGTCATGCTTTCAAGGAGTTCAGCATTTACAAATTCCCAAATTCTTACAAGTTGAATTTAAGAAAGTGTTATCCTACCAAAGACTAACATATGAGAATTTGCTTTTCAAAATGATTTTATAAATGGTTCTTCCAAAATACATTTAAGTATTCTTTAAACGTAGGGCTCATTGATAGCAAAGAAAAAAATAGACTGAGAAATTTAAGGTTGAGATATGATGTTAGTCTGGACTGAAAATTGATGCAACATAGAAACAAAGCAAACTTTAAATGTTAAGTAATGAAGCATATTCTGAGAAGTGGGGTTGCATACTACTGCCATTCTCTGCCAGTTACTGATCTTAGCCCCAGTACTCAAATGCATCCTTTCACCAAAAGGCCATCCCATTTTAACTTCAGCAATCCTCTTAAGTGATTGTAAAAACACTGTTGAAGGTGCAATCACCAGAAAAAAGCTGATAATAAATGCCTGTTAAATTCAAATTAAGGGGCTGGTGCTGTGGCATAGCAGGTAAAGCTGCTGCCTGCAGTGCCAGCATTCCATATGGGCACCAGTTCAAGTCCCAGCTGCTCCACTTCCTATCCAGCTCTCTGCTATGGCCTGGGAAAGCAGTAGAAGATGGCCCAAATCCTTAGACCCCTGCACCTGTTTGGGAGACCCGGAAAAAGCTCCTGGCTCCTGGCTTCGGATCGGTGCAGTTCTGTCCATTGCAGCCAATAGGGGGGGGAACCAGCAGATGGAAGACCTCTCTCTCTCTCTCTCTCTCTCTCTCTCTCTCTCTGCTTCTCCTTTTCTCTCAGTATAACTCTGACTTTCAAATAAATAGATAAATCTTTTTTAAAAATTCAAATTAAGTAAAATTCTTGCTAGCTGCACATCAAGGTACTCAATAGTCCCAGTACTGGTGGCTGGGAAGTACCTATGTCGGGGATGCCATGGATAAGGAGCCCTGCCATCTTCACAGGAAATTCTACTGCACAGAGCTGATCTACACAGGAAACTGATGTGAAGGAGCTTCAACAGTTCATGGGAAATTCTCATTATCATCCAATTCCATTTCCCATGCACTTTTTGAAATCTCCTGATATACGTAAGCAGGTAACACATTCATTAAGTCAGATCATCTGAAATGGATTAAATATTTTAAAATGTCCATTTTTGTGTTATTCTCAACAAATGTGTATTTTAGGCAAATATTCTAGATTGCTGTTAAAAAGACATGGAGGCTGGTGCCACAGCTCACTTGGCTAATCCTCCCCTGCAGCGCCAGCACACCGGGTTCTAGTCCCGGTTGAGGCCCCAGATTCTATCCCAGTTGCTCCTCTTCCAGTCCAGCTCTCTGCTGTGGCCTGGGAAGGCAGTGGAGGGTGGCCCAAGTGCTTGGACCCTGCACCCATATGGAAGACCCGGAGGAAGCATCTGGCTCCTGGCTTTGGATTGGCCACAGTGCGCCAGCTGTAGCAGACATTTGGGGGGTGAACCAATGGAAAAGGAAGACCTTTCTCTCTGTCTCTCTCTCTCTCACTGTCTAACTCTGCCTGTCAAAAAAAAAAAAAAAAAAAAGACACGGAAAGCTATTTGATAATGCCCCTGAGTCTCTGATTCAGCCTAGCAACCATCAGACTTTCCAAGGCTCGGGGGCCTTTCTTCTGCAAGGGCCACTTGGACATTTACAACATCATTCATGGGCCGTACAAAACTATCTTATTCATAAGATAATTCAAAATTAGCCTGCTGCTATAGATTCATTGAATTTCAAGTCCCACCTGGTTGCCTTGGCAGGGACACCCCAAATGATTAAACAGTACCCCACCCCCTGCTTTAACTGGGAAGCACCAATGACCATAAGTCAATCACCGTTCTGGCTGATTCTCAAGCAGTAAGCTGCTTCCCAGACAGCTTCTCCTAAAATTGCTCTTAGCAACTGCATTGCTGGTCTTGCCTTTAAAGAAACTCTGGGGGCCAGTGCTGTGGCATTGTGGGTTAAGCCACCGCCTGTGGTGCCTGCATCCCATATGTGCGCTGGTTTGAGTCCAGCTGCTCCACTTCCAATCCAGCTCTGGGAAAGCAACAGAAGATGACCCAAGTGCTTGGGCTCCTGCACCCATGTGGGAGACCCGGAAGAAGCTCCTGGCTCCTGGCTTCAGATCAGCACAGCTCCAGCTGTTGTGGTCAATTGGTGAGTAAACCAGCAGATGAAAGACCTCTCTCTCTCTCTCTGCCTCTCCTTCTCTCTCTGTGTAATTCTGACTTTCAAGTAAATAAATAAACCTTTTTTAAAAAAATTAAAAAAAAAAAAAAAAGAAACTCTGCATTTGAATCTCAGGTCCAGGCCTTGGTAGCTGTGTGAGTCTTATTAAATCACTCCGCCTCTCTAAGACTCCACTTCTGCATAGGAAAAATACAAGTAATGTTCTTTACCCACCCTCCTGCACGCCCCCACCCCCAGCTCACCTGTCTCCTTCTTGGACTCATGGTGCTCTGACCACAGGGCTCTTCGGGTTTCTGTCCTCTACTGGGAGCACTGCCCCCAATGCCCCAGCACACTGACCCTGCTCCAGTCCCACCATGCAGCCTCCAGCATTGAGCTCCAACGCTGCTTCCTCCCCTAGGCGTTCCTCCTGTCCAGGCTCCGTCTGATTACTGTTGCACGCTCTCCAATCTAGAGCTCTGAACCATTCGCTCAGAATGTGCTCTCAGTGTGCGCTTAAGAATTTGTCAGGCTCTGCCTGCTTGTCCCTCGAGCTACCACCTGCATGGGAGCAGGAACGATATGTGCGTTTTTTCACCCTGCCATCCCCAGCTCCTAGCACAGTGTTCAGCACAGGCCAGGTTGAATATAAGCATTTCTGCTATTGCATGGTAAACGCATTCACTCATTCTTAAAATACCAAGGCCTGGGGGGGTGGGGGGAGTCATCCTAGAAGCAAAGGACTCAAAATCCAGGAGGCGTGGTAACCAGAGCACAGAGCAAAACAATTAGTGTCTAGGGCGACAACTTGGACAGCTCAGGCAGAGTGCTCAGTGGGGCTGGAGGCTGACTCTGGTGTTCAGTGTGGACAGTACAGGCCAGAGGCTGGTTTGAGGGTCCTGACACAGCGGCATCGAGCAGAGAGTGGAGCATGGTGGCCAAACCAGCTGAGGGCTGGAGCTGGAGGCCTTGCAGGTGGGGAGCACCCCTCTGAGAGGGCTGCCCCAGGAAAGTTCACTTCCGTTTTCTTCCTACAGGACTGAATTGGCTCCCATCCCTGTAGCAAGCTGAATTTGGGGCTTTTATCATTTTCTTCCTAATGTTCTGGGGTCTCTGGCATTGAAAAATGGATGTCCAAATTAGCATGCCCATCCATGTTATACTGACATAACTTCTCCCCACCCAGCTGGTGTTACAGAGACATCATTTTGTAGCAGAACAGACTTCAGTGATGCATGTTACATAGTTCCACATTCTTTCCCCATAACTTCAAAAAACGTATCCTACTTACAGATACTGATACACGTACTGATTAGGAGGAGTTCCTCCCAGCCATTCCTGACCACTCAATCCATCAGTCACAGGGAATTCCCAATTTAGGAATAAGATGTGTTTATGTAGGGCTGCAGGACTTTCCCCTTGCCTTTTTAAGGTTTTATACTTCAACCTGCTGAAACAAACTAATAATAGACAGATTAACTGGAGAAGAAGCATGCAAGTGTGCTAGGTGCACACCTGTATGAGAGGTGACAAAGTATGAAAAGCAAAAAAGGACTGGGTGGTTGAAGCTTTTCAAAGAGGAGAGAAAAGTAAGGGGCTGTAGGCAACTTGAGAGGAAGACTAAATGGTTTTTAGGGCTGATGAATGGTCCCAAAGAACAAACAGCAGCTCAGGGTAAAGTTCGCCTGGGCTCTGGATGTGTTGTCAACTCGTCTCTCCTCCTGAGTCCATCTTCAGAGAAAGTCCCTTCCCGCTCTTCAGGAGGGAAAGAGGGCCAAGGGACACAGGTGTGGTTGGAGGAAGCATGGCAGAGAGATCCCGGCAATCCTTTGGAATAATGTTTTCGGAGTCTCAGAATTGGCACTGTTCATTTCTAAGTCACTTTTTAAAGCCACACTGTGTTCCAAAGTCAACATGGAAAAGCCTGTGCAACCCACTAGATAACACAAGTTAGCATGTACTGAGTACAAACTATATGCCTGAGCCCTCAGCATATTTTCCATACTCAGTTCTAATTAAATTCTCAGCCTTCACAACAGTGCTTTGAGGTGGATTCTAGGCTCAGCCTCATTTCACAGCTGAGAAAGCACAGGTAATGGAGGTTTAATAACTTGTCAGAGGTCGCACAATCAGTTCACAAGACCATGTGCCCAAATACAAAACAACTGTGGAGAAATACAGCCAATGAAACCAAAGCACGAAACAATAAAAGTAAGTAAGTCTAGGTGTTCAGTTCATCTGAAGCAAGACAGCTTCAATATCTGGATGTAAGGTCCTCCCCCTAAAGGCCGCTGCTCTCCAGTGTTAGCCTCCTGCACCCTACATTCCACCTGCTGCCCTCCTCAACGTGCAACTGGGAGTACAACTCCCCATGAACACCCACTGGGACCACCACCTCGGTGGGCAGCAGAGCCCTTCTCCAGATTATACTGGTCAGCCAACACCCACAGAAGGCAGCCTCTGCCCCCAGTTCTGTCCTGTTCTCAAGATATCCCGCTGACTCCAACACAGCGTAAGCCCCATGAAAAAGGACCAATGGCAGAAAGCTCTGTGTTTTCACTCGGGATCCTTGCCTTCCAAATACATCACCGTCTTAAGCACCCCTTGATGACACCATGAATGGTTTAGGGTAGTCATGTCAACTAGCTCATAGGTGTATTTATATAATGGTATCTCCAAAAGAGCCATTTGCTCTTAAAGCTTCAATAGACATTTTTTCACACTGAAAAGCCCCATTCACAAACTCTTAGGACTGCTGGATTCAATTTGCAGACCCTTACATCAAACACAGAAAACACACAAGTCTGCTGCACAGCTGTGGAGCACAGTGGGAACTTACCTGTATAAACTGATGGTTGGCTCAACTGCCAACAAGATGAAGGGCGCAACGGTGTAAGAGACGGCTAGCTGAGTGACAGCCCAGGTGACCACATCGTAAATGCCCTTGGCAGCTCGGGAAGACAAGAAGTAATGTCTACAATTGTTCCTCACCTGCCGGTGGAGGAAAGCAAACATGGGCAGTTGGAAGCGACAAACAGAAGCCATCATCACTCCATGTGTGGAGGGGGAACACACAGAACACAGGCTACAGTAAAGAACCTGCTGTCTTGAGTTCAACTAAAAATATCATTTATGGTTCTTCTTGTTTTAAAAACACTGTATGTGTACTGTAGATAAATGTTCAAGCAACAACTAAGAAAAATATTTTTTCTTTTTTAACATTTCCCAAAAGAAGGCATCACTTAAAAACTTTGCACACAGCCCTCCAAGCCTTTTTCTATTCATTTGTGTCCATATTTCTATTCTTAATGGCATCCATCTATTTTCTAGCATTTTTATTAGGTAATTGATCATGAACTTTTTCCACGTCAGTCAATACTGACCTCCACTATAATTTTAATTGTGGAAAAGTTAGCTTATCTTCCCACCCCTTGTTTTGCTATTATAAATTCATAGCCTTATAATTAAATATCTGCATTATTTTTTAATTATTCCTTTGGCTAACAGCAGTACAAATACTATTACTATTATCACCAGTACAAGTAGCTAGCACTTATCGAGGGTTTACTGTGCCAAACTTGTGCTAAATAAAGCTCTATGAAGATCATCTCGGGTGATCTCTCAACAAGCATCGGTTAAACATCCTGAGTTCCAACTTACAGATAAGGAAACTGAGACTTAGGTACAGAGACATTCCTCTGATGTGGAAAATGCTGGGTCAAAGTCTTTCGACTTTGCGACTAGACTTTCACCTCCAGAAAGACACCTCATGTCCAGATTCAAGAATCAAAACCAGAGTGGAAAACAACAGCAGATTCCTAGGCAGCTCAGCCACACATAGCAAAGGCTTCAGTGCCCAAGGCTGCCTATGAGCTGAGGATTCTTCTCCCTCGCCCTAAGTTCCTCAGGTCAGGGACCAGAGATCCATCATGGGGCAAGGTTGGCCACTGAGGATGAGATTTGTATTAGGCAACTTCTAGGGGTCTAACAGACTTCATGAATTTTGAATTCATCCTCCTTCTAAAAAAAAATGAAATCACTGCTCTATCAGCTCTCTCCTTTCCACCCCTCCCTTACTTACTTGTACAAAACCTTCCTAGGCCTTCCAAAGGAAAGGTTCTGCACAAATCACAGCTTAGGCCATTCGAGACCACAGAACAGAGACATCTGAACGAGTAATGCTCTGATATGTTAACAAACAAGATTCTGACCTTCATTTCTTAGTTTCCCTGGCCATCTGTTCTTTAGTTTTCTTTTTTAATCTGGGTGGGTATATGAATGGGAGAAGAGGAAATGTCTCCCCTGTTTTCTACACACACATGTGTACAATAGTCAGTTAACTCTAAAAATGAGTCAATCAGCGTGAGTAGCAATCGGTTATTCACCGTGTTCACAAACAGGCTGCAATCCACCTGCTTCAAAAAATAGGAATGCCTCAGGGGAGGGGCTCCCGAATTCTTCACTGTGGTAGCCTAGCACCCTATAATACCAAGTTGTGGGGAGCAAACCGGACTAGACTGAGTTACTGGAATTAAGACTTATTCTATGCATCTGCTCTCCCACAATATGGCGCTGGGAGAGGAGAAAACAGCTTCTACGCAGCTGCCTCCAGTTCAACCAATAAACTGTAGGACTTGCTCCTGATTGGAGAGCAGCGTACTCGGCGTGTGGGCAGCCGAGTTGGGATTGGCGGAGGAGGACTATAAAGGAGGAGAGAGACGGCATGCACCGGGAACATCTATGGGGAACATCTAAGGGAACCCGTGCAGCCCCCGAGAAAGCCGGCCGGCGGTGTGCCGCTCCCCTGCGGAAGTGGGGAATGTGGCCAGGGGGAACTGCCCTTCCACGGAGGTGGAAGGGATAGTAGCCAACCCGGGAAGAACCAGCAGCAAACCCGGGGAGGGCCGAGCAGACGAAAGAACAGCGCAGGGTCCTGTGTTGCTCCTCCACGAAGAGGGGGAGCGACACCAAGTGGCACCTAGGAAGACTCCTGAAATACTCAGAATAAATGAATTAAAGAATGAGAGTGAATAGCCACATGGGGCACCTAGACGAGTGAGCCAAACAGAGTTCAACAAATACCTTTGAATAAATATTCTTGGCATCTGAAATAAAGACAGTCACAGCCATTACCAAAGATTGAAATTAAATCAAGGGGGCTGGCACTGTGATGTAGTGGGCTAAGCTTCTGCTGTGGTGCTGGCATCCCATATGGGCACCAGTTTGTGTCCTGGCTGCTCCTTTTCTGATCCAGTTCTTTGCTTATGGCCTGAGAAGGCAGTGCAAGATGGCTCAAGTGCTTAGGCCCCTGCACCCCTGTAGGAGACCTGGAGGAAACTCCTGGCTCCTGGCTTTGTAGGCCATTGTAGCCATTTGGGGAGTGAACCAGCAGATGGAAGACCTTTCTTTCTCTCTCTCTCTCTAGCTCTACCTCTCACATAAATAAATAAAAATCTTTAAAAAAATTAAAACACAAACTCTGTATTTGACAATGAAAGCACTTTGAATGGCAATTCCTAAACTTCTAAATATATTCATTACCACCTCTGAGCACAGTCACATTTCACATTTTTGATCCTTGATTATTTCCTGCTCTATAGCAAATGACTTGCGGGAACAATCATATACAAACCAAAGACTCCTAGAACAGAAGGTAGAGAACCAAACGTACAAAATTCCCAAAGCCTTTTACACAAGCTAAGTTAACTGGCGAGGGCACGAGAGCACAGGCAGTCAGACGCATCTGCAGCAGGCGCAGCTCCCACGGCTGCCACCTTACTGTCTGCCCAGAGACTTGATGAACTGCTTCCAGGTTTAGGTAAAGAAATGGGAAATTAAGCAGACTGTAAGCAAACTGAAGTCCAACAAAGCCTTCATTAACTCCTCATCATCATCACCTGTGCTTACTGCTATGTTCAGCAACTTTAATGAGTAAAAATGTTTTCTTCTCTGAAGGTACTAAATATTGCTCCTGAGATTACTCTGTAACTAACAAGAAAATAAAACATTGAACCACTGTGGTAATGACCATGGGTTTCTACACACTGAAGATTTTCTTTAATGAGAAGGCTTTGGTATACATATATATATATATATATATATTTTTCAAAACATCACCCAACCGTTGTGGGCACCCTCACTGTGCCCACAATTGAGGGCAATTGATACCCTCAGTTCCTGCTAGGACCTAAAACAAATACAGGCAACAGATGCCTAAGGGAAAAGGCCTTGTACCCAAAGGACGCTTACCGCTCTAGCTGCTAATGTGACAAGGACTCCAGTTAAGAAGGTAAAATAGTATCCAGGGTAGACCCCATGCCACAAAGCAGACAGGATGAAGGTTAGCACCGTGGGGTACCACGGAACCCGCTCATAGCACACACTGTGAAGATAAGAAGGAACAACAAGCCACAGGTAAAACAAACCAGAAACTTCTGCAGACACCTGCTTTGGGGGATCAGACCACACAGAAGTCATTTATTTGATCCATTAACTGATAGAACTTGCAAAGCAATCCAGGCAGCCCAAGCTGCCCAGGTTTCTTTTGCACGCTGCCAATTAGACAGGCAATTCGTGGCCATTAGAAAGTTTTCACCTCTATATACTGAATGATCCTGACACACTCACACTGTACCCAATAAAGGTCTGAGTGGTTACTTTCTTCCTAGCAAGAGCTCCTGCCTTATAGAAGCTTATTTTGGCCGGTGCCACAGCTCACTAGGCTAATCCTCCACCTGCAGCACCAGCACCCCGGGTTCTAGTCCCTGTTGGGACGCTGGATTCTGTCCCAGTTGCTCCTCTTCCAATCCAGCTCTCTGCTGTGGCCTGGGAGTGCAGTGGAGGATGGCCCAAGTGCTTGGGCCCTGCACCCGCATGGGAGACCAGGAAGAAGCACCTGGCTCCTGGCCTCAGATCAGCGTGGCGCACCGGCCACAGTGCACCAGCTGTAGCGGCCATGTGGAGGGTGAACCAACGGAAGGAAGACCTTTCTCTCTGTCTCTCTCTCTCCCTCACTGTCTAACTCTGCCTGTCAAAAAAAAAAAAAAAAGCAGCAGCAGCAGCAGCTTATTTCACCAATGGCCCCATCTAGGGGGGTTATTAAGTTAGTGTCATTGGTTTCCAAAATTTCAAAATCAAGAGGCTGGGGCTGAGGCAATGCCGGCATCCCAAATCAGAGTGCCAATTAGAGTCCTGGCTACTCCACTTCCAATCCAGCTCCCTGCTAATGCTCCTGGGAAGGCAGTGGAAGATGGTCCAAGTGCTTGGGCCTCTGCCACCCGTGTGGGAGACCGTGATGTCATTCCAAGGCTCCTGGCTTTCAGTCCTGGCCATTGCAGCCATCTGGGAGTGAAACAGCAAATGGAAAATCTCTTTGTCTCTTTCTTTTCCCTTCTGTGTGTCACTCTGCCTTTCAAATAAATAAAATTCTTTAATTTTTTTCAAAAATCCAAAAATCAAGATAAGGGCCTGTAGAAGTAAAAATTCTCATTTAATCATATGTGATCTACCTTTCCAGGCAGGCCCTTGTGCCATCTACCTAATCAACACCACCTCTCTGGGCAACTCCAGCACAGAATCAACACTTCAGTCACACTACCTCTTCAGATCTTACAGCGCCCATGGGACTTCAATCCATGAATTTGCCTCATAGAGCAATACAGATTGAATACCCCTATTCTAACTGCTTGGGACGCAAAATGTTCCAGATCTTGGAATATTTACATGTACTGAGACATCTTGGGGATAGGACCCAAGTCTGAATGCAAAATTCATTTTATGTTTCATATACACTTTAAACACATGGCCTGAAGGTAACTTTATGCAACGGTTTTACTGCAGCTGTGTCTCCACTGTGACTTGTCATGAAGTCACGTGTGGAATTTTCTACTTGGGACATTTGGCTGGCACTTAGTAAGTTTCAGATTTTGGATTTAGGGAATAGGGAATCGCAATATGTATTGTGAAGATCCTGTGTGCCAGCGAATATTCTGGAGATCTTTGGTTTTTTTGGTTACTTATAAAAACAAATCGAGCCGGCGCCACGGCTCAATAGGCTAATCCTCTGCCTGCGGTGCCGCCACACTGGGTTCTAGTCCCGGTCGGGGCGCTGGATTCTGTCCCGGTTGCCCCTCTTCCAGGCCAGCTCTCTGCTGTGGCCCGGGAATGCAGTGGAGGATGGCCCAAGTGCTTGGGCCCTGCACCCGCATGGGAGACCGGGAGAAGCACCTGGCTTCTGGTGCACAGTGCGCTGGCCACAGCGGCCATTGGAGGGTGAACCAACGGCAAAGGAAGACCTTTCTCTCTGTCTCTCTCTCTCTCTAATTGTCCACTCTGCCTGTCAAAAAAAAAAAAAAAAAATCAAACAGGGATTTCCCCCTCAAATTCAGTCTGTGAATTGCCAAAGGCACTCTAGGGAAACAACTACATGGTCTACCCAATGACAGGACCCAAATAAAAATAAAATAGAAATTCACAGTTGAGCCAACCCAGCATTGTATAGATCATCAATAGTAATTGATTTAAACCCAAACTAAGGATCATGGCTCTCTCTCCACAGGAAGAAAGGGAACACACTTAGAGAGATAAACCCAGGACCAAGACTTCATTTGCAATGTTTTTTTTTTATGAGGAGCAGGTAGGTGTGTAAGTATTTCTTACCCCTTTTCTTTTTTGATATAGAAGAAATATGTCACTTTCTAAACTAATATTTTCTATTTTATTTTATTTTTTTTCAAGATTTTATTTATTTATTTGAGAGGTAGAGTTACAGTGAGAGGGAGAGACAGAGAGAATGGTCTTCCGTTCGCTGGTTCACTCCCCAAATGGCCCCAACAGCTGGAGCTGTACCGATCTGAAGCCAGGAGCCAGGAGCTTCTTCCAGGTCTCCCACACAGGTGCAGGGGCCCAAGGACTTGAGCCATCTTCTACTTCTTTCCCAAGCCATAGCAGAGAGCTGGATTGGAAGAGGAGCAGCCAGGACTAGAACCAGTACCCATATGAGATGACAGCACTGCAGGCGGATGATTAACCTACTGAGCCACAGCGCCAGCCCCATAAACTAATATTTTAAAATATTTTTATGGGCACACAAGTATGCTCAGTCATCTTTGAATATAAACTCCAGTTGAAGATTCACTATATGACCCTTAGCACATTGGGATTACTCATTATACAGAAACAGACATTTATATTTAAATTATTTATTAACCATAGTAATAATCTTAGGGCCAAACTTTCAAAATCATGTTCAGACCATGAAATTTCAAAAAATGTACAGATGAATTTTCAAAAAAATACCACCTGAGCTTACTTTGGAGGAATTGCTATAATCGTCTGCTCTTTTACCTAAATATTTTGACCAAAGAAAGATGTTACTCATAAAAAACACTGGGAACGAGCCGGCGCCGTGGCTCAATAGGCTAATCCTCCACCTTGCGGCGCCGGCACACCGGGTTCTAGTCCCGGTTGGGGCGCCGGATTCTGTCCCGGTTGCCCCTCTTCCAGGCCAGCTCTCTGCTATGGCCAGGGAGTGCAGTGGAGGATGGCCCAGGTGCTTGGGCCCTGCACCCCATGGGAGACCAGGAAAAGCACCTGGCTCCTGGCTCCTGCCAGGATCAGCGCGGTGCGCCGGCTGCAGCGGCGGCCATTAGAGGGTGAACCAGCGGCAAAGGAAGACCTTTCTCTCTCTGTCTCTCTCACTGTCCACTCTGCCTGTCAAAAAAAAAAAAAAAAAAAAAAAAAAACACTGGGAACCTGCTTCAAAGTGAACCAGCAGATGGAAGATTTCCTCCTAGACCACACCTCCACCCAGCCCCATCACTCTGCCTTTCAAATGAATAAATAAATTATAAGAAAAAAAAAAAGGACCATCTGGGCTAGGATCTTCACTTATATGCTCCGTGCCTCTGGATAGGTTAAACAGTCTCTCTGTATCTCACTTTTCTCAACTGCACCATTGGGTAATAGCAACATCTCACAGGATTATTATGAAGATTAAATGAGTACCAGGTGCACAGCAGCGGTGGCATTAATTGACAACACAAATGTGCAGCATTATGATCTCAAATCACTCTATTCCTACTTTTTCCCTTACAGGGCATGGAAGTTCATTCAGAAGTGTCAGATGACTTTAGCACCGGCTAACGACTCTTGCTGTTCATCCAGTGAATCCCATCTAAACATAGCCCAGTACCATGAGTAATGGGGTCACTGCTGTTCTTACCATTTTAGCCAAGCAGCTGTCTGAATATTCCAGTTTGCTAAGTACATCTTGAAACTTGTGGCAGTCTAGAAAGAAGAAAATAACACCTATCATTAGCTTTAAAAATACCCGGGTAATGGAAAGTCCTCCCCAGAACTTCTCCGGGAGCAGATCCAATGCGGTGCCTCAACAGTGACTGCTCACAGGCCAGGGGAAGTCAGCTGATCCCCCACACAGTAAATCTTCTGTTGTTTATGGGATTGACTCTGCAACTAAAGCTCGGCTTGCCAAGTCTCCATTTTCCTAAAAGTCTATTTTCAAATGATAGCAAAACCGAAGGAATGTTTGTAGGTTTCCCTTCCGTACGAGCTAAAAAAAAAAAATCTTAAATCATCTGAATTTTCAAACTAAACACTCTAAAAGGGGATTTACCACAGGAAAAGTTGAATCATGTGAGTCTGCAGAAGGCTTAAATTTAACTGTCATCTTTTCACGGTGGCCATCTACAAACTAGGTCAGTCTTGCGCAGTTAACTCTATAAATAGCCACACAGGTTCAAACGGTTCTTATTGTGTCTGGAATAGTAAGAGATTTTACGCATGAAGGGAGCACAATACAGAAAAGAAAACAAAGAAATATCACCCAGCTGGCACAAATCAATCAACTGCTGAGGATCAGGCAGCCTAAGATAAGCTGTCACCTGGGTTTTCTCACTGCGATGCTGCGATGTAACTATTTGGTCTCCCTGGACCACAGCTCTTAACATTCTTAGAATGTCTGGAGTAATGAGAGTGTCCTTCTCCGTGAGTTAACTGATGGCTAGCAGCTTCAGGACCGGGCTCATCACTTCAAAGACGAAGGCAGGATTAGAGGGCCGGGAAGTCCAGCCACCACCTCCAGGGAGGGGAAAGGGTCTGAAGGTCAAGTTGTTCACTCACGGCCAATGCTTTAATCAGTCTTGCTCGTGCAATGAAGCCCCCATAAGAACCACGGAGGACAGGGCCCAGAGAACTGGTGAGCAGGTGGAGGCTGCAGGAAGATGAACAGGAGCCCGCAGGGCCCTGCATCCCAGCCCCACACGGCACCTCTCATGAGCACCTCTTCATCTGGCTGCTCAGTTGTATCTTTTACAACATCCTTTACTAATAAACCACAAATATAAGGATAATGTTTCCTGGAGGTATGTGAGCTGCTCTGGCAAATCAACTGAACCCAATGAAGGTCGTGGTAACACCAGTTTGTGGCCAGACTTCCAGAGGCCCAGCCTGGAGTCTGGAGTCGGCAGCCTTGTGGGACTGAGGACTCAGCCCGGGGATCTGATGCCACCTGCAGGTCAGGATGCTGCTGGCGGGGACAGAACCTCACACATTCTGGGAGCCCAGAAGTGATCTGAGTTGTGAGAATGCAGTAGGGGAAACTGATTCGGAGGCTGTCTCCTGCTATATCCTCAGACTCACTAAAAAAATAAAAATAAAAAAATCCTATGGGGGCAGGAATTACAGCAGAGCAGGGTAGGAAGCCATGTGAGATGTCCACATCCCTTATGGGAGTCCTGGTTCATGTCCTGGCTACTCTACTCCTCCTGATCCAGCTTCCTGCTAAAGTGTGTGGGAAGACAGCAGACGATGGTCTGAGTGCTGGGTGCTTGGGTCCCTGCCACCCACATGGGAGACCCCAGTGGAATTCCAAGCTTCTGGCTTCAGCCTGGTCCAACTCTTGCTGTTGCAGGCATTTGAGGAGCGAATCAGCAGATGGAAAATTGCTCTCTGTTTCTCTTCCTCTCTGTCACTTTGCCTTGCAAATAAATAAATTAATTAAAAAAAAAACAGGCTTTCACTTAACAAGCAGACCTATCAAAGGATGGTGGTAAAAATACATGGATGATGTAAACATACAAGGCCCAGAATTCCTGAAGAGAAGTTTCTTCAAACATAAGAACACTTTATACAGGCCACACATCAGCCTAACAGAATATGTTTGGAAGGGAAGGAGAGAAAGAAAGAGACAGAGGGAACAAGAGATAATAGATAGATGGAAGATCAATATATTTAATTTTGAGCCTTAGTTTTGAAAACTAAAGTTTTTTTAAACAATATATTTATTCATTTTACTTTAAAGGCAGTTACAGAGAAAGAGAAAGAGACATCTTCCATACACTAGTTCACTCCCAAAATGGCTATAATCACCAGGGCTGAGCCAGGCTGAGGCCAGGAGCCTGGGCCCATCCAAGTCTTCCACATATGTGGCAGGGACCCAAGCACTTGGGTCATCTTTCACTGCCCTCCCAGGTGTATCAGCAGAGAGCTGGGTTGGAAGTGGAGCAGCCAGGACTTAAACCAGTGCCCATAGGAGATGCTAGCATCCCAGGCAGCAGCTTAAGCTGCTGTACCACAACACCAGCCCCCAAGGTTTTATTTATCCATTCCACTTCTTCTATGGCTAACAAACACTACATTCATAAGCTTAAAGTACCTTAATTAAATCAGTCTTCTTTGTTTTTCTTTAGCTCCTTGCCCTGTATCAATTACAATGAAAACACAAACTTTCTCCTTCCGGTTTTCTCTTATAATGAATGCATAACAGTAATGTAGCCCTTGACTCTGAACACATGCCCAGAGCTAAAAGACGCCACCTCTCGGGGCATCACAGGGGGGTAGACTAGTGGCAGTCAGACATCAAGGGCAGCCACTGGAGCCACCATGAAGGGCATTTAGCAGCCTGCAGTAGGAATCCACAAGTTTGGAGAGGGAGAAGAAGGAGGAAAAGTTGTGAGACACTTGGCCTTCCTTCGACATCACCTCTGCAGGAAAGCAAAGCTTGCAGGTGGTCTACACTGCTTTTCCAAAATGGGAAAGGTTGTTTTGGAGGCTGCAACCTGTCTATTTAAGATGCTGTTCGTGGTGATAGAGGACATGACCCAACTGACGGGCAAAGCAATGTTTGTTCATTCAGATATGACCTGGGTCCGTGGCCATGTTCCTACCACATCCCCAGGTGTCTGCCCACAGGAGTCCCCCAAAGCTCCAGAACCATCCAAACACAAGTGTTTGCCCATAGTCAGCACTCACTTCATATGTGGTGAATCTGTGTGACCTGAGCCAAACAGCACTGAGTTTAAGTTGTATTAAATGTATGATGTAATTCAGTTAGGGAACAGTTGTAGGTGCGTCTATTTCTACTTGATTGCCTTTGGAAATAGCAATGCCTCCATACTAAGAGGGAAAATGTGATTTTCCCTACAAACTCCACCATATTTTTTAGGAGAAATACCCAGCATGTTCCCTGTGGTTGCCATCCCAGTGCAAAAAGCCTCTGCAGAAAAAGAGAGAGGCCTACCTGTTTTAGCCTAGATTGCATTAAATGTGTGTGGCAGGTAGGCCATCCCCACATACCCCTGGCTTTGTGCTCAACACACACAGCCTCCTTTGCCCAGACCTTCCAATGGCAGTCCGTCTGCCCTGTGGTAGGCGGAAAACCAAAACCAAATAAACATGGGGGAAATCTGAATCACAGAAGATGATTTGTATTCAATTATCTTAGTAGACAATAACAATACGGTATCATGATTTCTGCTTTTCAGTTTTACTTACAAGAGCAAACCCAAGTCACCCGGCTGAAGAACCGATGCTTCCCCTCCAGTGGGGGACCTTGCCTTCCCTGCCATCCAGCTGCCAGGAGGAAAGCGTCTATGCCCTGACGTTCCTGTCCACTGGAGACCAACAATGCAAAGAAACCCAAGAATGATGGGATCCCAAACCTATCGCCTCTGACGACGAAGACATATCAAGAATGCTGAGCCAAGAACAAAGACTGGGAATGAGAACTATCACACCATTCTGGCGGCCTACAACTGTGCACCATGACAATTCTTCTCTAAAGTGACCAGATGATCAGCATTCCCAAAGGAACCAGACAACACCTGCAAAACTGAAATCCAAACAAGGGAGCTCCCAGTCTGTGCTCCTCACTGAACTATGCAGAGCATGTACAAGAGAAAATGGAATTTAGACTTTCAGATGAAAGAACAGAAATGTAAACAACAAAAAGATTTTCCTGGCTCCTTTTCAGATTTCCTGGGTCATCCTTCCCTTAACCTTTAAAAAACACCAGCAGGGGCTGGAGCTGTGGCGTAGTGGATAAAGCCACCACCTGCAGTGCCAGCATCCCATATGGGCACCGGTTCAAATCCTGGCTGCACCACTTCTTATCCAGCTCTCTGCTATGGCCTGGAAAGCAGAAGAAGATGGCCCAAGCCCTTGGGCCCCTGCACCTGTGTAGGAGAACCAGGAGAAGCTCCTGGTCCCTGTCTTTGGACTGGCCCAGTTCTGGCTGTTGTGGCCATCTGGGGAGAGAACCAGTGGATGGAAGACTCTCTTCCTGCCTCTCCTTCTCTGTGTAACTCTTTCAAATAAATAAATAAATAAATCTTTTACAAAAATTCCGAGATACAACATGTCCAGGAGGCATTGGCCTGCTAGCAGTTTTTCCTGGATCTTGATGAAGAATTCTGGGATAAAACATTCAAAGCAAATGATTTGCTTTATTCATTATGGAAGTTTGATTGGAAAACATAGTAGACTCACCTCTATTTTCCGGATGTTTAGGTTAGAAAGCAGATCCCAACAGAAATTTCCATTCTTATCCACTCCGCTGAACCCAAAGCCAGCTGCATTATTGACTGCATCAGCTATGGTTTTTAAAACAACACATTAGGATATGGAACAGAAGTCTGCTTTATAAGATACTAAGTATCTGTCTAGCCTCAAGACTTAGGGAGTTGTGGTAGCTTCCTTAGAAAAGGAACCCCAAAACTTAAAGGACTGCTACCATTATGAATCAGAAAAACACACTAGTGGCTGTTTGGTGAGCTTGATTTTAATCCATTCATTCATTTCCTAGCACTGAGTGAGCAGCTGCTGAGGGTCAGGAAAGGCGCTAGATGTGAAACTGAAGATAAAAGAGAAATAAAGAACCAGAAGAAGAAGTATCAGAAGGACTTAGTGAGCAGCTTGATATGAGGGGGGAGAGAGAACAAGGCAAATAGACATCTAAGCTCAGAAGCAAAGACCAGAAGGCAACCCACAAGAGCATCAAGAGCTGTCTCCGAAAATAGCAGGGCTTGAGCTGAGGGGCAGTGCAGGGTCAGGGGGAGAACCCATTCTGCAAGAGACTTCAGAGCTCACCCCGGACACGGAAAGCGCGATGAGCCAGCAGGACATTAGATGGAGCGGCCACGATGCAGTGAAGAAAAGGTTAGAACCCAAGGCAACAGACAGAGCTAGAGAAGCGAATCTGGGGCCAGCTTCAATCAAGATCACATGTGGACACAATTACCAAAGCCACTCTATTCATAAAGTTGGTAGAAAAGCTCCCATAGCCATTTTTATTTGGCTTCTCTAAATAATAATTTTCTTCTGCAGTGAATATCTGATCTCCAATCAACTCCTCAATAAAGTGCTTTTTGCTGAAGCAAGCATTTGGTGTAGCACTAAAAATGTCATCTGGTGGGACTGGCACTGTGGCATAACAGGTGAGGCCTCCACCTACGACGCCAGCATTCCATATGGATGCTGGTTTGTAATCCGGTTGTTCTACTTCCTATCCAGCTCCCTGTTAATGGCGTGAGAAAAGCAGTGGAAGATGGCCCAAGTGCTTGGGACCCTGCCACCCATGTGGGAGACCTGGAAGAAGCTCCTAGTTCCTGGTTTTGGCCTGGCTCAGCCCTGGGTATTGCAGCCCCTGGGGAGTGTACCAGTAGATGGAAAATTCTCTCTCCTCTCCCACTCTGTTTCAAATAATTTTTTTTTAAAAGATGCCACCTTGTATTCCCACATCCCATATCAGAGCACCCTAGTTCAAGTCCAAGTTCTGCTACTGATTCCAGCTTCCTGCTAATGTATACTTTGGGAGGTGATGGCTCAAGAATTTGGGTCCCCACCACCCTCATAGGAGACCCAGTTTGAGTTCCAAGCTCAAGCTTTGGTCTGGACCAGCCTTAACTGTTGTGGGCATTTGGGGAGTGAACCAGTGGATGGCAAATCTCTCTTTACTGATGCCTCTCTCTCTCCCTCTGCCTTTTAGATAAGATAAGTAAATAAAATGATTTTATAATCAAATATAGACCTGTTAATATACTTTTACAATGATAACCAAGAGGCTGATTTTCTCCCTTCACTTATCTTATTTCAAATCCTGTTAGAATATTTTCTCTTAAAAACTAAATCACAGCCCCATGAAGACTTAGATGTGGGAATCTCTGAGCGATCTCCTTTCTCTGAGGATTCCTTTAACGAGCCTCACTCAAAGCAGCCTCGTGCAGAGCTGCTCTAAAGGAAGACAGCCTGTCCTGTGTTTGCCTCATTTATTTTTAGCATGGTTGATGATTTATTGTTGCTTATCTTAGGCTTGGCTTCACTGCCCAACGACCTGGTTTCTTTTAGAATGAAGGACGAGAAGTCCTGAGTCCCTCTACATCATCCTCCCAAGCCAAATCGATGAAAAATCAACGGTCAAAAAGAAAGACAAAGTGATGGTGTGCCAGGAAAAAACTCATGATTTTACAGGTGTCAGAATCAGTTTGTGAATGACATCAGTTTGTGAATGACAGAGGTGAACCAGCCCTGGGAGCAGAAGGCCACCCCTGGGAGAGCTGTGCTGACAACTCCCAACAGAGCCACACTGCCCACAGCTGGACCCAGAGCAGTGTCCCCTAACTGCTCTCTCCCATCTCCAGCCTTGTCTCTCCAAGTCCTGTCCAGACCTCAAAGAATAAAGACGACAGTTTTTTTGTGTGTTTCTTTAGGGCTTACTATCTTTCCAGTAGCCTATGAAGCACTTCGTCCCACTCCTTATTTAATCCTCACAGCAGTCAAGATAGAGATTACAGGGTCGGCACTGTGGTATACCAGGCTGTCTCCGTTTGAGAGGCCCACATCCCATATCAGGGTTCCTGGGATGGAGCCCCAGTTCCACTTCTGCTTCCAGCCTTCTCCTAATGCACACCCTCGGAGGCAGCAGGTAATGGCTGAAGTACTTGGGTCCCTGCTACCCACAGACCCAGAATGAGTTCTGGGCTCCTGGCTTTGACCTGGTCCAGACCCAGCTGTTGTGGGCATTTGGGGAGTACACCAGCAGATGGAAAATTCTCTCTCTCTCTCTCTCTCTCTCTCTCGTTGCTCTGCCTCTCAAATAAATTTTCATTAAACAATGGAGATTAAGGTTGGGCTCTACAGAATATTATATGCAAAGCCTTGAAAGCTTTATGACTTCTAGAAATCTCTTCCCTCGAGTCTAAGATAGATATAATAATGGCACCTATTTTAAACGGCTCTTAATAGGAGCTGGAGTTGTGGTGCAGAAGGTTAAGCTGCCCCAGCGATGCTGGCATCCCGTATCAGTGCAACGGTTTGAGTCCTGGATTCTCCAATTCTGATCTAGCCTCCTGATAATGTGCCTGGGAAAACAGCAGAAGATGGCCAAAGTACTTGTGCCCCTGCCACCGACGTGGTCGCCTCAATGTGTTCCAGGCTCCTGGCTTTGGCCTGATCCATCACCAGCTGTGGCAGCCATCTGGGGAGTAAGCCAGCAGATGGACGATCTCTGTCTCTCCCTGTCACTCTCCCTTTCAAGTAAAGAAAATAAATCTTTTTTTTTTTATTATTAAGGGCTCTTGAGAGAATTAAATGCAACTCAGTGTGTGCAGAATACATAGCACAGAGCTTGGCGCTCACATGTAAGTTAGTTGTCATGATGATGACAATGATAACGATGATAAAAATTGCCACCTCCAGCCTGGATATGACAGAGACATCAGGCACCTATTAGGATCACTCAGGTGGTATAAATGATGCCAGATTCCAGAGTCTACAACCTGAGCGGCCAGTGGCTGAAAGGCCACCCAGAGGCAGTGACTCTTAGAGCCGAGGCATTTACAGGACAGTGGAATCCCCCTTGCTGCATAGTGCATTCCACAGCAGTTTATCCGAGACTTGACTTTGCCTGTCAGCAGTCAGAGGTTCTTAGTGCACCAGGCCCACACTGGCTTTTCTTGTGTTGTGCATGGTTCTAACCTGTTATGACACATGAATCAATTTGGACACCGATACGCTGGAGTTGGTGTTCTTTGGAACATAGCCTGGGCCAGAGTGGGGCCTCATTAATTAGTACTAATTAGTATGCAGAGAATAACGAGAATCATATGCTAAGCCCCCCCAAAAAAATAATTTTCTTACTTTAATCTAAAGAGCAACCACAGCTAGGCTAAGACAGTGCTCAGCTCAGCTTTAAGGATTAAATGTATAATCACATATAATTAGTACACCAATTATATGTAAATGGTGTTTTAAAGAGATTGATAAAACAATTATTGGGTTAAGCAGTTTAAATATTCCCTGTTACACTGTTCATTGCTTCCTTTATTCATAAATAATGCAAAGGTTAATTTCAACCCAGCCCATGCAATCTAAATTATAACAAACTTCAAATTGAGGTCATACAAATTAATGAAGTGTTTCTATTGAAGCTACTAAAAGAAAAAAAAAAAGATAAAGAAAAGGAAGTAGGGAGAGAAAAAGAGTGAAGTCCACAGAGCAAGGTGTCCACGGAAAGGGTGACTTCCATACCCCAAATGGCCGGGGTATGCCCGGCAGGCAGAAGGACAGCCGTCCCTGGTCCCCGTAATCCCCTGGTCACCAGGTCCCTGCCAGCACAACCCACCTGGCCACCAACTTTCCTTAGGGAATTGTGGAATAAGCCTTTCTTTTCTCTCTACCTCTGGAGCTGATTTAGTGCAGAAGCCAGCCTTTAAGGGGGTGGGGCACAGCAAATGGGAACAGGAAGAGCAGGGAGAGGGGAAAAGAGAGAGAAAGAAAGCAAGAGGAGAGGAAGGAGAAGGTAGGACAGCCATTCACCCTCATTCGCTCTGCTCCACACAGGTACTCAGGTTGCAGTAAGGTCAGAACAGTAACTGTTTTCACCTATAAAATATGTCCTGTGTCCAAACAGGCTTCCAACCACAGTAGGTATAACACCTACCAATTAAATGATATCATTGAATTGATATGATAATTTAATGATAAAGCGATTGTGGGACAAGGAGTGAGGCACAAGACAACTCCTGAAGCGTTGCCCATTTTTTTAAAAAAAGATTTATTTACTTATTTGAAAGGCAGAAGTACAGAGATGAGGAGAGATTAATTAAACTGAATTAATTGCACTGAAAGTCACTAGAAACACAGTGCAGATTTCATAACAAGCTCCAAGTCAAGGCTCTTTGGTACAAAGTTACGTAAATATTGCACTGACCTGAGTGTGTGTGAACATTTTGGCCCTTAAAAATAACTTGGAATGAAGAGGAGGGAGGAATGGGGAGTTGATGTTTAATGAGGACAGTTTCTGTTTGGGATGATGAAAAGTTCTACATTCTGGGGATGGATGGTGGTGCTGGCGGCATAAGACTGCACATTAATACCTCTAAATCGTATATTTAAAACTGGCTAAGATAGTGAAATTTGATGGCCAGCATTGTAGCACAGCAGGTTAAGCCACCACTTGTTACATTAGCACCCCATGTCGGAGCACCAGTTCAATTCCTGGCTGCTTTGCTTCTGATCCAGCTCCCTGCCAACATGCCTGGGAAATCAGCAAAACATGGCCCAAGTGGGTGGGTCCCTGTCACCCATGTGGGAGACCCGGGTGGGTTCTAGGCTCCTGGCTTCAGCCTAGTGTCCAGCCCCTGCCACTGCGGCCATCAGGGGAAGGATGATCTCTTTTTCTGTCTGTCTCTTCCTTTCTGTCACTCTGCCTTTTAGATAATAAATAAGTTTTTTAAAAAAATATTAAAAAGGTAAAAAAATATTAAATTTTGCTATATATATTTTACCATCACAACAAAAACTAATAAATGAAAAAAAAAGTAACTTCTAGGAGTGAGCATTTAGCTTAATGGTTAAGACACCTGCAGGCCACATCACAGTGCCAGGGTTCAATTCCCAGCTCCAGCTTCTGACTCAAGCTCCTTACTCATGCAGACCATGGGAGGCAGCAGTGATAGCTCGGGTTCCCGCCCCCTCCAATGGGAGACCTGCATTGAGTTTCCGGATCCCAGGTTTGGGCCTGGCCTGGAGCTGCTGTTTGCACGCATTTGGGGAGTGACTCCCAGTGAGTGGGAATTTGTTCTCCCTCTCCCTCCACTCCTCTCCATATCCTCAGACTCTCAAATAAACAACGTTTTTTTTTTTTTAAAGAGTAATTCATTATTTGCAAACATTTTACTCTGGAGTTTATAACTTACAGTATGAAATAAGAGAAACACACTCAATCTGTTATTCTGCAGCTCATGGCTAAACACCAGAAACTAAGGTTAAGAGTCGAGGTGACTTCCTAAGCCAAGGTACTGCTCTCTGATAAGCACCAGGTCACTTTCAGCTAAGCTGTCAAACTCCCATTCCTGAAAGGGTTCCAAGTATGGATCAGACTTATTACAATCCTTTACCAGTCTTGCTAAGTGCATAGAAGCGTTTACTGCTCACTTTAGCAAACCTTTCAACTACTCCAGTCTAAAATCGTTCAAAAAGAGATAAAAGCTTAAAATTGAACAAGTTAGTCCATGGAACAAAAAAAAAAAAATGTGTGATAAAACCAAATAAAGCTGAACTTTCTACTTAAAGAAAAAAAAAATCACTTGAAGTCAGCTTCTTTCTAAGACATAAAGTTTAACGGGGTGGGTGTTGAAGCCACTTGCAACGCCCACATACCATACCAGAAAGTTGGTTAAGTGCCACCTACTCCTTGTTTCTGATCCAGCTTCCTGCTAATGTGCCGGGGAAGACAGCAGGTGATGGCCCAAGTGCTCGGGCCCCTGCCACCCACAACTGGGATGGACTCCCAGGCTCCTGGCTCTGGTCTGGTCCAGCCCCGGATGTTGCAGGCATTTAGAGAGTGAATGAATAGATGTAAGATCTCTCTCTCTCTCTCTCTCTCTCTCTCTCTCTCTCATCCCTATCTCTCTGCCTTTTAAATATTAAATTAAAAAAGCTTAGCCAACAGTTTCTTAAAGAAGTGTAATCTAAACCAGTATGTGTGTTTATAAAATAAATGCAACATGTATCCGGCATTACTTATAACCCAGAAAAATTACAAGAAAGCCATAACATCCTGGAATTTTCCCCAAACTTTCCACTGCACTCAATGGCTAAATTTGACTGGTGTAGGCAGAAGCTTGTTAAGTTCTGACGTCTGTTAATAACACTGGATTCAAACATCTGCCAGGCTTATTTCTCTCCTTGTCACAGATAACTGAGTTTACAGAGGGTGGAACACTATGTTGGAAAGTAACAAATGACACTGGCTCTATTGCCTCGCACTGTGGCTCAGACTTTTTCTGATTAGGTGATCCGGAATGTTCTGGCTAAGCCGTCCAGGGAGTGTCCTGGTTTCCTCACTCAGAGCTATCCCAACAAACTCACCCAACGTCCACGCAAAGTAATATTTGGGCTTTGAGGCTTGTGTGACAACATATAAGTAGAAGAGTCGAGTCAAAAAGTTTGCTTCATGGACAAACCAGTCATCAATAAGGCAGGTGACAGGGAAGGTCTTCGTGAGCGTCAAAAACAAAAGGAGAGACACCAAGGTGATGCATAACTTGCGTATCACAGCTCCCTGGAAATGGGGGGAAACAGACATAACCATTCAGAAGATTCTGGAACCAGGACAACAATTCTGGCAAAGACACGTAAAGAAGGGCATTGTTCCTGAGGAGGCAACAGGTGTTCTTTCTCAAGACGGGGGTCTGATGATTAGGATCAGGTGCTATGTTCAGATGCAGAACAGACTTCTGACACTTGAGAACTGAACGTATTCAGAATGGAAGAAAATGACCCGAGTCATCATCAAGAAGGAAAAAGGCTCAGGTAGGATGAATTCCGTGCCGGAGACTGAGCACCCAAACCAGAGCATGGGAAGGCTCTGGAGAGCTTTAGAAGTCTTCCAGGGGAAGCTGTCTGGCAGAGCAGTTACGATGCCACTCGGATGCCACGTTCCTCCCTAGGCTGCCCAGGTTTGAGTTCTGTCTCTGCTTCTGATTCCAGCTCCCTCTAATGTACACCCTGGGAAGCAGCAGTGATGATCCAAGTACTTGGGTCCCTGCCACCTGCGTGGGAGACCCAGATTTAGCTTTATGCTCCTGGCTTTGGCCAGGCCCAACCCCAGCTGTTGTGGGTATTTGGGGGGATGAGCCAGCAGATGGAAGATCTGTCTCTCTTTCCCTCCTTTCTGCCTTTCAAACAAATACAAAACAAAACAAAAAAAAACATGACATAGTCAACTCTGAGATCAAGATGTACTGATTTTTAAATTCTTCTATATGGAGTAATTTTGTCTGGTTTTTCTGACATTCTGGGAATGTCATTCAATGTTCAACAGAATCATAGTTTACAGTGTCTTAAAATTGAACTTTTTATTGCTAATATGGGCCAAGCAACAGCACCTCCTTTAGAGGGTGACGTGGGGCTTAAGAGAATGAACATGTACAAGGTCAAGTGTCCAGCACCACTCTTAGCCACAATTACACTGACGGCGCTAGGAGGCACAGCTGGTGGGGGGCAGACCCCTCCCCACCTGCCTCCCTGCCACCCATCAGCACGTCAACCAAATGCATCCTCATCACTTCCCAATCTCAGCACAAAGACGCAGGTGTCTCCTTGGAAAGTGGAGATGAGGCTCCCTAATAAAACTGTTTCCTAAATAAAACCATGTGAAACCTGAAAGCTCTCCAGAGACAGATACCGCCTCAAAACACATGGCATGGCTCTGACGCCCCATGGCCATGGTGATTTCATTCCTAAATCATTTTCAATAAAGCAGCTGAAGCCCAGACCATAAAGTACAGTGAGCTCAAGTGTGTCAAAACTCCCCAGAAGCCATGAGTAATTAACAAGCCACTTAAACATTCAAATTCGAAACTCATACTTTTGCCTAGACTTTCAGTTATGCAATAGTTAACTCAAATTATCTCTATTTTCTCCTATTTCCAATTTTCATCATTCATTCAGTTAATTATAATCTCCCTTAAATATAGCATATTTGATCAGAATAAACTTAACATAGTTAAGAAGTTCAATGAGTTATCCTAATACTGACTAATTTGAGATTGATAAATCCAGGTCAAAATTAAAATACTATTTCAAAAAGCCATTTTAAACTCTCTCTCCAGATTAAAATCAAGTCTACACATGTAAAACCGGTCTAATTCTAGCTTCCTGCTAATGAACACCCTGGTAGGCAACGGTGATGGCTCAAGTACTTCAGTTCCTGTCACCTATGTGGTAGACCTGAGTTAAATTCTTGACTTCTAGCCTTAGCCTGGCCCAACCTTGACAGCTGCAGGCATTTGAGGAGTGAGCTAGCAAATGGGAGATTGCAGTTTGTCCATCTGTCTCTCAATTTTCAAATAAAAATAAATTAAAATTTTCAAGAAAAAAGACAAACTTATTTTGGTGCAAATTTTTCTTAAATCCATTTACAATTTTTTTTTTATAACATGCATTTGCGGGGCCAGCACTGTGGCGCAGCAGGTAAAGTTGCCTCCTAGGATGCCAGCATCCCATATGGGCACCAGTTTATGTCCCAGCTGCTCCACCTCCAATCCAGCTCCCTGTTAACATACCAGGGAAAAACAGCAGAAGATGGCCCAGGTGTCTGGTTCTCTGCCACCCATGTGGGAAACCTGGATGAAGCTCCTGGCCCCTGGCTTCGGTCTGCCCCAGAGCTGGCCATTGAGGCCATCTGAGGAGTAAACTAGCAAATGGAAGATCTCTCTCCCTCTCTCTCTCTCTCTCTCCCTCTCTCCCTCCCTCTCTCTCTCTCTCTCCCTCTCTCCCTCCCTCTCTCCCTCTCTCTCTCTCTCTCTCCCTCCCTCCCTCTCTCCCTCCCTCCCTCTCTCTCTCTCTCTTCCTTTCCCTCTGTAATTCTTTCAAATAAATAAACAAACCTTTTTTAAAAAATTTCATTTGCCATGAACGTTTTGAAGACTACTCAATATGCATGGATTTTTAGAAACTTTCACACCAAATAAACCTTTTAATTTCCATTTCCCATGACTTTCTTGAAGCAAATGCACATGCTCTTCCAGCTGTATTTGAATTTTAAAGACAAAACATCCATAGTACTTGAAATGTGTTAACAGGCACTCTGCTGGCCACATTGTGTACACTAAATATTGGCTAACTAATGAATTGATTGCTTTAATATTCCCAGTCACTAGGCTCCTTTGCAAAATAAACACCCATTGCTCCAATACAGAGAACCGTTACAAACATCTCAATAAAGATTGAGCTTCCCTAATCCCAAACTACAAAATCAAAGTACTCCAAAATCCAACACTTTCTGAGTATCAACACAATGTCAAAACGATTCAGATTTTAGATTTTCATAGTAGGGATGCTGAAGTGATAAAGTCTATGCAGAGATTCCTAAATCACACACACACAAAAATCTCAAATGTGAAACGCATCTGGTCCCAAGCATTTCAGATAAGGGATACTCAACCTGTACTGATAATTTAAACAAATGAGAGAAAAGCTACTGGCCAAGCTTTCCTGTAAGCTGTTTGGCTTTTTAATTGAACAGTTATTAGTGACAGTCAGCCTGGCAGCAAACCCTGTTCTCTGGACCTTTAGGTAAATATTCAGCACCGAAGACTTACAGTGGGAGAAGGTTCTGGGAAGCTGCAGGAAGTGTTTTGCTTCCAGTTGACTTCCAGCAACTTCATGCGCACGTGTCTCCCCTCAATGAAGGCCACGTAGTCATTGAAATTGTTACAGGGGCCCGCTATGACACTCATGAAATTGAGAAGGTAGCTTAAGTATTCCAAAAATGTGGGTTTCACTCTGCGAAAATGAACATAGTTGAAAAGTTTTCAGGCTTGGATTTTTATGCAGAATTTTTTTAAAAAGAATTATTCCAAATGCAGCCATTGGGTTGTCTTTTTAGATTACTGTATTTGACAAGACCTTTCCTTGTTCTTTTCTATAAAAATTCACTAACAGATTCTTTTTTTTTTTAAAGAATTAAAGCACAAATTTATTTCGGCGCAAAAATATTTTTGAAACCCATGCATAGTTGTTTTTTTTTTCCCAGCGGTATACATTTTTTTAACTTTTATTTAATAAATATAAATTTGCAAAGTACAACTTTTGGATTACAGTGGCTTCCCCCACCCACCCATAACTTCCCTCCCACCCTCCCATCTCCCGCTCCCTCTCCCATCCCATTCACATAAAGATTCATTTTCAATTATCTTTATATACAGATCAGTTTAGGATATATCAAGTAAAGATTTCAGCAGTTTGCACCCACACAGAAACACAAAGTGTAAAGTACTGTTTGATTACTAGTTATACCATTGATTCACATAGTACAACACATTAAGAACAGCCGGCACCGCGGCTCACTAGGCTAATCCTCCGCCTAGCGGCGCCGGCACACCGGGTTCTAGTCCCTGTCGGGGCGCCAGGATTCTGTCCCAGTTGCCCCTCTTCCAGGCCAGCTCTCTGCTGTGGCCAGGGAAGGCAGTGGAGGATGGCCCAGGTGCTTGGGCCCTGCACCCCATGGGAGACCAGGAAAAGCACCTGGCTCCTGGCTCCTGCCATCAGATCAGCGCGGTGTGCTGGCTGCAGCACGCCGGCCGCGGCGGCCATTGGAGGGTGAACCAACGGCAAAGGAAGACCTTTCTCTCTGTCTTTCTCTCTCACTGTCCACTCTGCCTGACAAAAAAAAAAAAAAAAAAAAAACAACAACAACACAGAGATCCTACATGGGGAGCAAGTGCACAGTGACTCTTGTTGTTGATTTAACAATTGACTCTCTTATTTATGGCGTCAGTAATCACCCGAGGCTCTTGTCATGAGCTGCCAAGGCTATAGATGCCTCTTGAGTTCACAAACTCAGACCTTATTTAGACAAGGCCATAATCAAAGTGGAAGTCCTCTCCTCCCTTCAGAGAAAGGTACCTCCTTCTTTGATGGCCCATTCTTTCCACTGGCATCTCACTCACAGAGATCTTTCATTTAGTTTTTTTGTTTTTTTTTTTTTTTTTTTTTTTTTTTTTTTTTTTTTGCCAGAGTGTCTTGGCTTTCCATGCCTGAAATACTCTCATGGGCTTTTTAGCCAGATCCGAATGCCCTAAGGGCTGATTCACTAACAGATTCTTGTTAAAAGGAAAATTGAGGGGGAGGGTAGCTCAGAGAACGCGCTGAGCTCCGTGGCGCCCTCTGCTGGCCGATCATGGTAATAAAACACTCAAGGCAGGGTCCAGGGTAAAAGCTGTGGAGGCTGGGACATGCTCTTTTCTCATCACCTGTCTGCGAACAGCACAAAACAAAGGTAATAAACATAACGCAGGGTGAGAACCTGACCTCATGGCAGCTGACTGGGATGCTTCGAAAGAGGAGCACTTTCAGATGGCCAAAATAAACACATAACAAATGATGGGTGGATCCAGTTTCCACGGGAAGAGAGGCCACAGAACAGTCTCTACGCTGCTCTGGCATGCAGGCCAAGTCCTCAGGAGCAGGAAAACAATCTGCAGATAGCAGATCTATGCTGTTCTCTGAGGGTCTTTGGGAAGGCCTGTTCCAAAGACAGAATGGTGGGGAAAAGCGTCCTCAGTGCCATTGCTACCTGCCATGGGAACTGTGCTCTGAGTCACTTACACCCCACAGCACTCAGCAAGGAACCCGATTCATTAAAATCGTCCCACAGTGCTCATCACTTCCAAGTCTCAGCTCCTTCATGAAGGAGCCAGGAGCTCATCTCCTGTGCCTGGAACCTCCTTTACTTCTCCAGTTATCCCTTAATGCAGTCCCACCCGGCCCCAGGCCACAGTGCTCGCACCCATGCACTACCTTGTATGCCTTGTTCAGCTTCACATCAGTGTCCCCCTCCTCCTCCTCCTCTTCTTCCTGTAGACAGACTCCCTTCTGCTGCAACACCTCCCTTTTTCTCACGTATCCCCACTGGCCAAAGGCCACCTTCAGCCTTCCTCCCAGTCTCCTCCCACCTGCATCTCTCTGGCCCCACTTCCCATTGTCTTCCATGCCAGTGTTTAATCAAAATCCCACCAATGTGCACTGATGATTATCAGATTCTTGGTGCTCCCCCGACACATGCCCAGCAATAACAATCCCAGCAAACTACAGATCCACGGACGGTTAGACCTAGCAATCCACTCCTGGGAATCCATCCTCTAGCTGTACCCAATCATTTTCATCACTCACCATTTGTAAAAGACAAAGACTGGTGGGCAACCCAAGAGTCCAATGGCAGACTCATTAAATAAATGATATCATGGGGCCGGCACTGTGGCGTACTAGGTTAAGTCTCAGCCTGCAGTGTTGGCATCCCATATGGGTGCTGGTTCAAGTCCCATCTGCCCTACTTCTGATCCAGCTCTCTGCTAAGGGCCTGGGAAAGCAGTAGAAGATGGCCCAACTCCTTGGGCCCCTGCACCTACGTGGGAGACCTGGAAGAAGCTCCTGGCCCCTGGCTTCACATCAGCCCATCTCTGGCCGTGGTGGCCATCTGGGGAGTGAACCAGCAAAGAGACGACCTCTCTCTGTCTCTCCCTCTCTCTGTCTGTGCCTCTGTCTCTTAAATAAATCTTTAAAAATAAGTAAACAATTGATTATTCATGATAAGGAACGGAAAGGCAGCTATCTGAACGGCGAGGAAAACCTCTACATATGATGTCGGAGGCACTTGAGAAGCTCTTGATAACCTGAACTTACTTTACAGCGAGCCGCCGCTGCTCAGCAGAAAGGTCTTCGGCTCTTCCAGCTGATCCTATGGAGAAGAAAAACAACTCAGACGGGAGACGTGTAGGGGTCAGCCCTGTGGAGCGGCGGGTTAAGCCGCTGCCTGTGATGCCAGCCTCCCCTATCACAGCACCACTTTGAGTTCCTACTGCTCCACTTCCAATCCAGCTCCCTGCTAATGTGCCTGGGAAAGCAGGGGTGATGGCCCTGCCACTTATGTGGGAGACCCGGATGGAGCTTCAGGCTCCTGGCTTCAGCCTGACCCACACCTAGCTGTTGTGGCCATTTGGGGAGTGAACCAGTGGTTACATGATCTCTCTCTCTCTCTCTCTCTTCCTCTCTGTCTCTCCCCCTCCCTCACTGTCTCTCCCTCTCTCTGCTCTGCTGCCTTTCAAGTAAAAATAAATAAATAAATGAATCTTAAAAACCGGAAAGAAATGAGACATTTGCAGTGTCAAGGCAACAAGTCTTAAAAGAGTCTAACCAAACGCATTTGAAAAAAGGGAATATATTTTTGCTTCATTGATCATGAAGAATCCATTTGTCATTTTTTAAAATAGCCCTGGACCACAGAGCCGCCTGTTGGCAGGCTCACACGATGAGCGGGGCACTCAGGTTATCCCTCTTGGAATCACACGGTACGACACAGAGCTCTCTCCATCTCCTGCCCTCGGCAGCTCCTCACCACTTTGTGTGTTTTCATCACTACATGAGGTCTTCTAGAAGTCTGCAGAAAAGGCATATTATGGGAAACTACACACGGCTTCCAAAATTTTTTTGCAACCAAACTTATCTTTTAATTCCACTTTCCATGAACTATTTGAAGCACTCTCTTACATCCAAGAAATAAGCTCGCCTTTCTCAGGCTGTGGCAGCTGAAACACCTCCTTCATCATACTGCATACAGACACCTGGTACACGCTGCCAGCATGGAGATAGGAGCTAACGGGAAAAGAAACAGGGACTTTCCTCTTCCAAAAAGGAAAAGAGGAAATGTTACCCTGAGTGCCCGGAAACCACACTGGAATAATCAGTTTTCTTCTTTTTAACACCCATTCATTGCCGAAAACCTCCCCCATCAAACCACCCTTGCGTTTCCTATAAAACGTATACATTAACGTTGAGTCAAGGAAACTTAAGTGTCATAAGCAATAGAAGTCACCTTAAAACTGTTCCATTCAGGGGCCAGCTCTGTGGCGTAGTAGGCTAAGCCTCTGCCTGCAGCGCCAGCAGCCCACATCACACTGGATTGAGTCCCAGCTGCTCCACTTCCAATCCAGCTCCCTGCTATGGCCTGGGAAAGCAGTAGAAGATGGCCCAAGTGCTTGGGCCCCTGAATCCACGAGGGAGACCTGGATGAAGCTCCTGGCTCCTGGCTTCAGATCAGTCCGGCTCTAGCCATTGTACCCACTTGAGGAATGAACCAGTGGATGGACTCCCTCTCTCTCCTTCTCTGTCTCTCCCTCTCTCTGTCTGTAACTCTGTTTCTCAAATAAATAAATAAATCTTTAAAAAAAAAACTGTACGTTCAGCTAAGACTGACAATGGTCACCAACTATGAAGGCAACTAAAAAACATGCCACAGAGAAGGCGGAGTGTCTCTGGAATTTACTTGTTCCTCCCACACACGAGAAAAAAAAAAAAAAAAGGCAAGCCAAATAAACACTTACTTTGCTGCCTAAAGGAAAGTTCCAGGAAATACGGTGAGCTTAAAATGCACAAAAAGTAAATTTAGGCAAAATGTCTACTTAAAAAAAAAAAAAGAAGCAATGTTTAAAAATATCATACTCTTTTTCTGAGGTCGTATTAAGTACTACGTCTCTAGCAACTTCAGAAATTAAATTTGATTTTTGCTATTGGTTTCTGTGGTTAGTGTTAGTCTACAACCACCAAGTGTGACTAGCTCAGCCTGGTTTCATTAGGACTTGGATTTTCCCCCTGAAAACCACACATCTGGGAAATTGTCTCAGTACTGGGAGAATCAGATGGCCGGTCCCTCTAGAAAGATTCCATCCTTGGAATAAAATTACCCAGCTCTCGACACAGTGACGGAGGAATCATGTCTGAGCTAGGAACAGACTGGGTCAAAGGAAATCCAATCAGTTCCCAAGCTTGCAGGAAAAACAAGAAAACTAGCTGTCTGAGATAAATCTTCTCAATCTATCAACAAAGACATTTCAACAGTCACAAAGCATTTGGCAAAGCAGTACCAGTCCACAGAATACACTTCTACTAACTGCACCTGGCACCCTTCAGCACATAGTAGAGTCTTCCACCCAGCTGGAATAGTCTTCCTCTCTTCCCGGGAACCCGATTTGAACAGTAAATCACACCCCAGCCATTTTTAGGAAGAGCCCAAGCAAGGAACATCTTCAGTTTCGTACAAGCAGAAGACTCTCCCTTCTCCCACTTTTTGCAGGGTTAGGCCAGTCTCATTAGATCATTTTACAAGCCAAATAAATAAATAAATATCATTTAAAAAATGATTAAACAGACAATGCTGCTTGATTTTGTTTTAGCATCTCCCAGGCTTCCCCCAAAATTAAATCAGAGCAGAAAGGAGGCCATTTTTTTCTTAACAGATTTGGAGATGAAGGGCAGAGAGCGCAGCAAATTAACTTCAGTTTAAAACACTGTGAAGATAAACAGAGGCTGGCGCCGTGGCTCTCTAGGCTAATCCTCCGCCTGTGGTGCCGGCACACCGGGTTCTAGTCCCGGTTGGGGCACCGGATTCTGTCCCGGTTGCCCCTCTTCCAGGCCAGCTCTCTGCTGTGGCCCAGGAGTGCAGTGGAGGATGGCCCAAGTGCTTGGGCCCTGCACCCCATGGGAGACCAGGATAAGCACCTGGCTCCTGCCTTCGGATCAGCGCAGTGTGCAGGCCGCGACGGCCATTGGAGGGTGAACCAATGGCAAAAGGAAGACCTTTCTCTCTGTCTCTCTCTCTCTCTCACTGTCCACTCTGCCTGAAAAAAAAAAAAAAAAAAAGATAAACAGAAATCCCACTGTTCTCAGTGCAAATATCTCAGACTCAGCAGGGAAATGGTGAATAATAGCTGGGAGACTCAAAGGCTATACTTAAAGAAGCCTAGAAATTTTGAACAAGATAAAGGAAGATCTGCCTGCACTTTCTAAACCCTGGATTGCACAGAGAGTGTAAAAAGAGAAGCTCTGGATGTTGGATTCTCTCTGAGAAGCAGAGGAAGAAGGGTCATTTTTCTCACCGTCATGAACTTGGAAGGCCAAGGTTGTAATCTTCTGAGTAACAATCATCAGGGGCCTATAAGGACAACAGAAAATCATCCAGATTGGCAAAAATGCCACAGGAAGAAACTTTTATTCTATTTCTCCATATGGTGGTTTTTCATCTTGAAGTTTATTAAATAAAATACAAAAAATGTCACCTTCAAAACAAGCTACTTTATTTCCCTTCCAAATCCCTTTAGATGAGTAGATGAAACAACACTGAATAATAGTCCCACGGGTCAGGCTCTTATGTGCTGTTACTCAAGATGTGGCCCCAGGCCCAGCCAGGCATTGCCTGGAGCTTGTCAGAATGTAGTCTCACCTCCACTCCAGACCTAGGAAACCAGAACCTGCATGCTAACAAAATTACCAGGGAATCCCAATGCGCATAAGTGAGAAACATCCTGGTTCAGAAGACCCCTAGTCCAGTGCCATGGTTCCAGTGGATGGATAAACATACAAAGGAACTTCAAAAAGTTAAGTTAAAAGATAAGTTTATTTTGGTGCAAAAATCTGAAATCCAAGTATATGAAGGGTCTTTAAAAACTTCATTAATTGCATATTATAAAAACACTATGCGGCCGGCGCCACAGCTCAGTAGGCTAATCCTCTGCCTTGCAGCGCCGGCACACCGGGTTCTAGTCCCGGTCGGGGGGCCGGATTCTGTCCCGGTTGTCCCTCTTCCAGGCCAGCTCTCTGCTGTGGCCCGGGAGTGTAGTGGAGGATGGCCCAAGTACTTGGGCCCTGCACCCCATGGGAGACCAGGAGAAGCACCTGGCTCCTGCCTTTGGATAGGCGCGGTGCACCGGCCACAGTGCGCCGGCCGTGGTGGCCATTGGAGGGTGAACCAACAGCAAAGGAAGACCTTTCTCTCTGTCTCTCTCTCTCACTGTCCACTCTGCCAGTCAAAAAAAAAAAAAAAAAAAAAACACTATGCATGGATTTCAAATTTGTTTCCACCAAAATTACCTTTTAATTCCATTTTTCCATGAACTTTCTGAGGTATCTGTTTAAAGGCAATTCTTACATGCACACGCAGTAAAATATATATATTTATAAAATGCATCTGCTTATAAATAAATCATTTGTTGACCAACAAATAACATCAATCTTAATTTGGAAAAAGCCATCAAATAAAAATTTGTCTTAAGAAGTAGCTACCAAATCAACAATGATGCCAGGATAATTCAGGGAGGTGATTAATGGTGAAGGGACTACCAGGCATCCATGTGAAAATAACACAAAAATTCATTCAAAATGGATCAAAGAGCTAACTGTAAGAGCTCAAACTATAAAATGCTTAGAAGAAAGCATAGATGTAGACCTTTTTGATGTCAAATTATGCACTGGTTTCACAGACATAATAACAAAAGAAAAAACAGATTAGGTGGCTATGATTAAAATTTAGATTTTTGTGTCTCAAAAGACACCTACCACCAAGAAAGTTAAAAGACATTTCACAGTGTGCAAGAAAATATTTGCAAATCATCTCTCTGATAAGGGACTTGTAATAGCATGGATAAAGAGCTCTCACTACTACCCAATTTTAAAATAGCTAACAAATCTGAATGGATATTTCTCTTAAAATATGAAAATGGCCAATAAGCTACAATGAGATTTCATACCATGAGCACTAGGATGGCTAGACTCAAAAGGTCAGACAATACCAAGTGTTGGCCAGGCACTGATGATTTTGAAAGCCTCATACATCACACTGCTGACAGGACTAGGAAATGGCACTGATGCTTTACAAACAGTCTGTAAGCATTGCAACAATTTAAATGTGAGTAACCTATGACCCAGCAATTCCAGCCAAGTATATGCCCATGAGAAATGAAAAGCATGTCTACACAAAAGCACAGACATGCACATTTGTAGCAACAGTGTAGATATTATAGGTAACAGCCCAAAGGAAATGATTCAGATGTCTATATAGATATTATATATAAACATTATAGATAACATTCCAAAAGGAAATAATCCAGATGTCCATCAACGGATGAATGGATAAATAAAATATGGGACAGCCATACAATAGAATATCATTCAGCAATAAAAAGGGATGTATCCTTTAAATGAATACATTGCACAGGATGTACTAATACATAGAGCAGTACTGTTTAAAAATGGCACCTGTTTTTCCCACTGCCTACTTTTAGTACTTTTTAGCTCTATTCTTGCCTGTCTTAGATCAGGCTGCTGTAACAAAATACCACAAACTGGGTAGCTTACTCAACAGAAGTTTGTTCCTCACATTGCTGAAGGCTAGAAATCCTAGATCATTGCATTGGAAGATTCCATGCCCGGTTGAGGGCTTGCTTCTTAGACAGCTGGCTTTTCATCACAGCTCACAGCAGAAGAGCAAAGGAGTTCTGTGGGGCTCCTTTTATGAGGGCACTAAAACTATCCATGATAGCCCCACTTGCCTGACCTAATCACCTGCCAAAGAGCACACCCCCAAACACCATCACCTTGAGGGCTAGGATATCAACATATGCATTTTAGGGAGGTCACCAACATTCAGGGAAAAGCACTGCCCAGCAAGGTAAGACAAAACCCCACTGTTCTGACTACCACACTTTCCTTCAGATCTTCTCAGTCTAGCCTGGTTTCTTGACCTTCATTCTTATGGCCATCAATTTTGCTGTCTGTGACCACTATGGGCCAAAGGCTCATTTACATAGAAAGCTGAAGTCTGGGTCCGTGTCCCATGACAGCATCCAGGGATCATCCAGGGATCCCACACAGCCCCTGTGCCCTGCACTTGGGCCAGGTACAGCAATGTGGGAAGATAGGACAAGACACCAACCACTTGAAGTCTGGAGAATGTCAATTATACTTGCCTACTTTTCCTTAACTCCACTTTCTTGTAATTCCTCTCATCCCAATTCCTACTTTCCATGTTTTTAAGTAAGCTATTTTAAGCTATAACCACATACTAATAAGACAAACTATTTCAAAGAAAATATCAACAACTATCCTCTGAAACCTTAAAATCTAGGACCAACTTGATATCTAATTTGCAAAGGCCATGCTTTGAAACCAGAAAGCTGTGTGTGTTCTGCCTGACTGGTGAGAGTGAGTGTAGCAAACACAGGCCACCAAGTTGGTCACTCGAGTGTAGCAAGACAGGCTCATCGATGACACTCGTCTACACAATGCTCATTTGAAATGGAAAATAATTGCTCTTCCACAAACTGAGGTTGTAGCCCTGGTATTAAGCCCACAGCAGGGATGGCATTGTGGCTCAGATTAGTCACCATATTCAATGCTGGCATCCCATATGAGCATCAGTTTGTGTTCTGGCTGCTCCACTTCTGACCCAGCTCCCTACCAATGCACCTGGGAAAGCAGCAGAACATGGCCCACATTCTTGTGCTCCTGCCACTCACATGAGAGACCCAGATGGAGTTCCAGGTTCCTGACTTTGGTCTAGCCCAGTCTTTGCCATTGTGGCCATTTGGGGAGGGATCCAGCAAATGGAAGATTTTCTCTCTTTCTCTCTCTCCCTCTCTCTTCCCTTCGTTCTCTCTCTCTCTCTCTCTCTCTCTCTCTCTCTCTCTCTCTAATTCTGCCTTTAAAGTAAATAAAATGAATCAAAGAAAACAGAAAAATAAGGCCACATCAAAGCTTTCTATAAAGAAACCTGGTCTTACAGACCCATGTAACTCTGTAATTCACCTTCCCACTGTTCATTCAACAAGACCTCTGGCCCAAAATGTCTAACAGATGCCAAGAGCTATTTCTCTTGAAAGGGACTCACTCTAAGCATCAGATTCAAGGCAGTTTCCAAAGGTGACCTTCAAAGCACAGTAGTTTTCTCTCTAACACCCTTTCATCTCTTTTTGCTTTTTCTGGAAGACTGAACCTAGGAACCAGTCTTCTCTACACAAAGCCCAGTACACAAAAATTTTTTAAATAGCTGGTTTTTTTTAAGATTTACTTTCTTTATTTGAAAGGAAAAGTTGGGGGGCGGATAGAGAGAGAGAGAATGAATGAATCTTCCATCCTCTGGTTCATTTCCCAAATGGCTCCAACAGCCAGGGGTGGACCAGGTTGAATCAAGGAGCCTGCAACTCCATCTGGATTTCTCAGGTGGGTGGCAGGGGCCCAAGCAATTGAGGCATCTTCTTCTGTTTCCCAGATGCCTGAGCAGGTAGCTGGATCAGAAGTGGAGAAGCTGAGACCTGAACCCCTATGGGATGCTGGCACTGCAGGCAGTGGTTAATCTGCTGTGCCACAATGTTGGCCTCCCCAGTGAGTCATATTTTAAATCTGAGGCACACACTCTGGTGACCATGCTATTTTTAAACCAACTAAGTTCCTATATTTTATTCAATTCATAACTTTATCTTATGGCCTAAAATCAGATCAATAAAGAAATAAAATATGTGATGGAACTAGTCTACCTTTACATCTCTGTAGAAACCTAACATTTGCCTTCCTCTACCTTGAATCACATTAGTTTACTCCATGCGTGGGCATATATTCAGCAAAACGTGTAGTAGTCTGACACAGCAGCCCCTCCTTATCGTGTACATATGGTCCAAGATGCATCACAGTTGCCTGAAACCACAAGATAATGCCAAACCCCATACATACTGTTTTTCCCTATCCATACATACCTGGGATAAAATTTAATTTATTAATTAGGCATAAGAAGAGATTCACAATAACTAAAAAATAGAATTACTATAATAATATAGTGTGATGAAACTTACTTAAAACTTAGGAATTATTTCTGAAACTTTCCACTTAGTATCTTTGGGCTGCAGCCTACTGCAGAAAGTGAAACCATGGCAGGCAGACTGCTAGGTTCACGTGCATGGTGGCTGTGAGCATACACCTCTCACACCTGCTGCTGGCCCAGCCACTGTGATCTGGCTCTGCTACCGCCCTGAGCTGAGGGCAGGCTTCTCTTGGGCATAGTGGGTCCTGGGCAGCCCCTTGCCACAAGTCTATACCCTCCGCCAGAAGAGGTTTAGCTGGGTGACTTCTCACTGAACTTGCCAGAACCCGCTAACTGCATTGTGT